ATTGCCGCGTTGTGGCGCGTCGCCTAGAGCAGGTCTGCAGCGCGCCTGCACTCCTTCCGCACAGAGCCGCAGAGCCTGCGCTGAGAACGCGAGCACAGGGTCTCGAGCCCCCCCCCCCTTTTTTTAGATAAGCCCCTGAAAGTGTAAAGCCGATGTGAACGCGTGCATTGGTGTAGGCTACAGAATGCAAAGGGACGCTCAGCATACCTGGATGCACATACAGTTGACATCATTGCCTCTTGGGCAGAACGCGGAGTGGTCTGGTGAGCGGATCCATCACTCCCGGAACAAAGCGGGGAGCCGGTAGTGCATCAGCCCCCCGAAGATGAGGTTGTGGTTTCTCCTTCGCCTGCCTTTTCTGCTGATGCGTGTGTCAGGTTGGATTTATTTCACCTGCCAGAGTTAATTTACTTCCTCCAGCTCCACTCTGGCATCCTGGCCTTCGTCCCCACGGCCACAACCTCCTGCCGCCTTTCCCCCTGCACCCCCTTACGTCACACCCTGTGTGCTGGCACCGGAAGTGGGATGGTCCAGGAGCCAGCGTGGACCGGAAGTTGCCAGCACATCCGGCTTTGCAGACAAAAGGAAGTGGCGCGGACCGAGGAGCGGCCCACCGTTGGGCTTCCAGACAGACCCAGTGGGCGCACAGTCCTCGCAGCCACTGAGGTGGCATGAGTCCAGTCATCGCAGGGCAGCTCTCCCTGCTCCTTCCCAAGGTGGCTTTGTGGGGCGGTGTAAAAGTCACGTGATGAGCCCTGCGTACCCGCCGCGCAGTCCGACCTGTGCTTCCGTTTCCGGTCTGGTAGGGCACCGCCCCAGCCGGTGACTCACCCTGTTATGTTTATAAATACATAGCCCGAGTTTCTTTTTTCTTTCGGCATCCTGGTCCGTGCAGGGGACGAGAGTCCTGGTGCCATACTCGCGCCGCGTACTCCGCGGCGCCTTCTTTCGTGAATTGTAAGTGATCGATTCTGCGTGCGGGCGCGTGAATCTCCTCCTGTCTTCCCGCCGTCGCCCCCAGAAATTAAAATTCTGTGGGTTTGAGTGGGACAAGGCGGTCTTTCTGTGCGCTCTGTGAAATACAGGTATTCGAATTGAACGGCACCTTGGGGACCATCCGCCCATGTGGGCGGGGGGTGGGTGCAGAAAAGGACACCAGGGAGCAGAGGAGAGCTGCCCCAGGCTTGGGGGCGCCCTGCGGGAATGCTCTCGGTAGGCGCGAAGAGCCCCACCCAACCCCTCCGTCACTGCAAGTCTCCCTGTCTGTCTAGTTGTGTCTCTTTTTATTCTTAACACGGTTCTCTCTGTGCGAATGTCGCTGCTAGGTACGACCTGTATTGATGTGCGCTTTTACTAGGGAAACGATCAGGCTCGGCTTGCTCCCGTTGACCCCGCTTGAAACGTAGGTGATGCTGAAAACTGGTAGGTGATGCTGAAAACTGGAAGTTGCTGAGTCATGGTTTTCGCCCTCTTCTGCCAAAGGATGCTAGTGGGCCCCTTGAGATCGTTCTAAGCCAACCTCACTCTTATGTGGCGTGTGGGTTAAGAGCATGAACTTGCATCAGCTGGACACGTTCCAGCTGTGTGCACACCCCACCCCACCCCCGGAAATCACTAGACTGCTCTGTGGCTCAGTGTCTCAGTGTCTCCATCTGTAACGTGGATTTATCAAGATGGACCCTGAGGTGGTCGCCACCTCTCTGGGAAAATTCCTAAAAAGCTGTGGTCAGGTGGTTGCGTTCATTGGAGTGTCTGTCATCCCTTATACCAAAAAGCTGCAGGTTCGATCGATTCCTGGTCAGGGCATGCGCCTGAGCTGTGGGTTCAATCCCCAGTTGTGGCGGATATGGGAGGCAGTTGATCGATGTTTCTCACAGCGATTTCTGTGTCTCACATTAATGTTCCTCTCAGGTCGGTCATTGTATCCTTGAGGGAGGGTTAGAGGTGGGGACGGGGCTGGTACACATAGCACAGAGCAGTGTCGCTACCTTGGCGTCACTATTATTATTATTACCAAGTAACATCGTAGTGTTTTATTCGGGGGTACACCTCTGGCTGAAAGTGTCTCAGGTGTTTTGAGACTGTCACCTGTGTGAGAGTCCTCTTTGTCTGGAACCCATTTTCCTGCTGTTAGGCTGTTGGGCCCACATCCCAGACTCTGTCCTTGTCCTTAGCGTGTGACTGGGACAGCACTGAGGACTTTGGTGCGATTGCATCGGTCACCACCCTTGACTTAGATCGGCCTCCCAGCCTTTCTGATGGGCCCTGGGTCAGCTCCTGCGTGCATTTGGTCTCAGCCTGCTAGTGAGTCCGGGCGAGGGGTGCTCCCGGTGGTGTGCAGGGATGCAGAGCGGGCCTCCTGCCTTCCAGGGGCCCGAGTCATCCCAGTGCCTGGCGTGCGTGTGTCAGGTTCAGAGACGCACAAGAACGAGGGGAAGGCTGCTTGCCTGGCAGCGATAACGGTGCAGGCTGTGGCGGCGCAGTCCGGAACTGTCCAGAGCGGGGAAGGCTCCATGGAGGGCAGGGGCTGGGCTGCATCCCCGGCCACTGACCAGAGGCAGCGGTGGAAGAATGTGGGGGGCCCCAGAGCAGGGCTTCTGTGCCTCACACTGTGGGATCGTTGGCCGGGGTCCGCCTCCACCCTGGGGGGGCCGCCCTGAGCATTGCTGCGAGCTTAGCACAGGGGTGGAAAGCAGGTCCCTGCCCACCTAGAAGCCAGTAGCACAAGTAAACAGAGATTTGCACAGAAGTGCATGCACCATGGTGTCAACCAAAAACGTGTGCAGGTAATGTCGAATGTCTTCCTTGGGTGGCAACATCACCCTTGCATGAGACCACGAACCACCATTCCAAACTTAAGAGGCCACAGCAGGCAGGGGCAGCCACAGGCCACGCCGATGTGGTGTGGCGCCAGCACCCTGGCGGCAGTGAGAGTTGACGCACTGCCCGTAGAGCGGGGATGGGAGGCTCTGGGGGTCCATCTCAGGGACGGGCTATTGCTGGGACCTGCCCGTTCCCCTGGGGGCCCTCCGGGCCTGGTATGTACAAGGAGAGAAGACTGTGAGGCAGTGCGTGCGGCGGGGAACAGGGGCGGGACTGCATTGCTGACATTTTCAAGCACTGCCTGGCCGGTGGCTGGCGCCACTGGGGCGGATTCTGTTGTAACTGCAAAGGTCTAGACCTCCTGCTGACGCCAGCAGGGTAAGGAATGGCCCTGGGGCTCCAGGATGCTGTCCCTTTAGCCTGTCAGGACATGAGTGGGAAGGAAGGCGGGAGCCCACGAGGACAAGGACAGAGTCTAGGATGGGGGTACAACAGCCTAAGAGCAGGAACACCAGTTTCAGGCAAAGATGAGTCATTCAAGCCATGGGGTCATCAGCCACAAGGGGCGAAGGGTTCTCCAGAGGGGAATGGCTGCGCTGAGTGATGAAAGCTTGCGGGTGACATGCAGAGTCATGCGGCAGAGACCTGGGGACAGGGATGTTGCTGACCACAGGCCGAGGGGTTCTGGGCAGGGGGGTGGAGAGGGAAAATGGAAAGAAAGGGTACAGGCCATGAGAAAGGGCCTCTGCTCACATTCCCAGAAAGCGAAGCAGTGGGCAGTGCCTCTGCCGCTGAGCGTCGGGTAGAGAGCCGAGACCTTACTCTCGGTGACGTAAGTAAGCTCCCTACTCCCTACTTTCTTTACCATCAGGCGGGCAGCGGCAAACTAATGGTGGGTACGCGGGGAGGAGAGGGAAGGGGTCGGTGTGAAGCCTGGACACAGACCTTGCGCGGACGAACACCTCCACCTGGTGAGCGTTGCCTTCATTGCAGAGCCTGCGTGTACTTTGATTGCCAAGGCTGAGGCCTGTGACAGTGTTGCACGTCCCAGGGGCCCCCAGGGGCTGGGCGTTCTCTCTCCCTGTTTGGCTGACGGAGGTGGTGCTTTGGTCACGTGGCTGGGGGTGGAAGGCGGGGCGCCAGGCAGCCCCGCGGCAGGGAGGGTGAGCTGGGGCCGACGGGATCTTGCTTATAGGCAAGGCACCTTGGCAGTGGGGTCCCCAGTGCCCAGAAAGGCTGAAAGGGTCCCGCCCCATGGTATCGCCCTATTCTGTGCCTCCCCCGGAGCTCCTCAATCCCCTCTCCTTTGCCCAAAGGACTCAGAATAGAAAGTGCGACAGGCTAGACCCACTGTGGGGATGCCCTGGGCCCCGCCCAAGAGGATGGCAAGCTCCGGCGCACCCCTGGCTGTCCCCAGGCCTCGGGGAGTGGTCGTGTCCCCAGCAGAGTGGGCTGCCTCTCAGCGGAGGACTTGTCCGTGGCCCAGACCTCTGGCAGTGGGGGATCCCCCTTACTCCCTTTGAGGGACATTTTCGCAGGTTGCTGATCGCTGCCCATGGACCCTCCCACCTCGCCTCCCCACCCTGTCGGCTCCTCCTTCCCTGCCCCACTCCAGCGGTATCTGCTTCAGAAACAGACATTGTGTATACACACAGGGACCCCCCTCACTTTCCCCCCAGCGTGGAGGTGAACTAAGGGTGGGAATGGCCAAGCGCGGCCTTCGTCAGCAGCTTGCCGTGCAGGTGATCGGTGCAGACGTGGGCAGGCTCTGATGGTGGCGGAGCAGCATCTCCTAGCTTTTCAGTAAAACAAGCCGCGGCCACACCGATGGGCCCAGAACAGCCTCATTTTCCTAGGATGTTGGGCGGCGTGATGCCCATACCCTGCCTTGTGCAGTCCCTCTATGTTCGGCTGCGGCCCAGGCCCGGTGCGCAGCGCCGCTGGCGCGGGCGGCCTGTTTGGGAAGCACAGAGCCAGGGTGCACGCTGTCCCTTTGTTCGCTATTAATAATGCTGAGTCGGCTCCACCCCGAAGCTGCTTCCTCCCAAGTCAGAAGCCAGGCGTCCAGCGGCCGATACATGGGGTTGAGATGCGGAGCAGCCACTGTCAGGTCCCTGCGGCTGCACCTTCCGCCGGCCGCCCGGGCCTCACTGCCTGCCTTCTCTGTCCGGCTGCAGGTTTTTCCCACTCGGCGTTCACGTTCGGTATCGAGAGCCACATCAGCCAGTCCAACATCAACGGAACGCTCGTGCCGCCCGCCGCCCTCATCTCCATCCTGCAGAAGGGGCTGCAGTATGTGGAGGCCGAGATCAGCATCAACGAGGTGCGCGCTTGCGTGCGTGTGCGTGTGTGTGTGCGCGCGCGAGTGCGCGCGGGTGCCCACGCCCTGGTGGGCGGAGACACCGGGCCCAGTACATCGGGTTGCTTGTTGCCCCTCCCCCTTCTTGCACGGGGCTCAGTGCGAGGTTAGGCCGCTGGGTCCCCACTGAGGACCGCCGTTCATCACCCCTGTCTTGCACTGATGCTCACCCACACCGGGCCCTGGCCCACGCTGCCCGCCACAGATGCCCTTGGGCGTGCCGGGAGCCGCAGGCCGATGGCTCTGCCCCGCTTTCTCCCCAGGATGGCACCGTCTTTGACGGCCGTCCCATAGAGTCCCTGTCCCTGATCGATGCGGTGATGCCTGACGTGGTACAGACGCGGCAGCAGGCTTTCCGGGAGAAGCTCGCTCAGCAGCAGGCCAGTGCGGCGGCAGCAGCAGCGGCAGCAGCGGCCACCGCAGCCACAGCAGCCACAGCGACCCCAGCAAGTGTTTCCCAGTCCAACCCACCAAAGAACGGAGAGGCCACGGTGAACGGGGAAGAGAACGGAGCGCACGCAATAAGTAAGTGCCAATAAGTAAGTGCAGGCCGGGCCCTGGCGTGTTTTCTCTCTGTGATTGGATTCCAGTGGCTGCCTCCTGCACACCGCTTCTGGGTCACTTCCTAATGTTTCCATCCCCTTCCGCCAGAAGGGCTTCACACCTTCGTCTTTCCTCAGAGCCGTTAGGCACCATGTCCTGGCCTTACACACCCCCAGTTTTAGGAAACGGTGCCACTTTGAGAACTTGCTGTGTGTGGCAAGGAGATTGATCGCCCCCGACCTTCCAGGTCTTGCTGTGGAGGCCCGCCCCATCACAGCTGAGCCCCCGATTGCAGGGCGGGTACCAGGCCCAGAGAGCGGGCTCTGTCTTACTTGCTCTTGGCAAATCCCCACGAGCTTCGTCCCTGGAAGGCAGTGGCCCAAATGCACCTGGCAGGTGGGTCAGAGAGTCTGAATGTTCGCCCAGACAACCAGCCTGTCTGCACCCTCTTCCTGTGCTGCTCGCAAATTCCGAGAGACTGCTTCGTTCGGGCTGAGTGCAGAGACGGAACAGGCTGTGTATGTGTGCACGAGTGGGCGTGCATGTGCAAATGCATGTGTGTGTGTCATGTGTGGGTACACACGTGCCTGGGTGTAACAGGCATCACACACGGAGGGGAGCAAAAGTAGGTCAGCAGTTGTTCCTGTGGGAACTTATACAATACTATAAAAACAGTGCGAGAACAAGCAGTTTTGAGTCATGACCACTGCAGACCGGCTGTGCCCTTCCCTGCACTGACTGCAGAAGGTGACGCGTTTACTGAGCTGCAGCGGCCCCGGCTGAGCTGGTCACCACGAGGGAGTAACACCACGTGCAGAGTAGCCGTTTGCAAAGCCGAGCTGCCTGGCCGAGGCCTCGCCCCGGGTCGCTTAGCCGCGCGGGCCTGCTCCTGTTTCCGACCCCAGATAATCACTCGAAACCCATGGAAATAGACGGGGACGTCGAGATCCCACCCAGCAAAGCCACGGTGCTCCGGGGCCACGAGTCCGAGGTATTCATCTGTGCCTGGAACCCCGTCAGCGACCTGCTCGCCTCCGGGTAAGGACGAGGGGCTGGGGGTCGGCCTCCCCGAGCACATGCTGCCTCGCCTGCCCGGCCGTCTTCCCCGGCCAGGGCCTGGGGCGCCCCGTGCTGCCCTCCTGTGGGTGTTCCCAACACGACCACACCGTGGAGAAGCCCGGGGACCGATGCCAGCATGTGACGTGACTCCGTGCAGCCAAGATGCTGGGGGAGCAAAATGCTGCCGCGCATGGGATTGGATCCATGGCAGGCCCGTGCCCCGGGCGTGTCATCGTGCCCCGTGCCACAGCGAACCGTGGCCTCGAAGCACGGGCAGGCCTCTGCCCGTAGGCTGCAGACACGGAAACGGCTCACACCGTGGGGGACGATGAGACAGAGCACAACACGCTCCCAGGGGCTGAGCCGGAAGCTGAGCCGGGCGCCTTTCATGCCGCAGGTCCGGGGACTCCACGGCTCGCATATGGAACCTGAACGAGAACAGCAACGGGGCGTCCACGCAGCTGGTGCTGCGGCACTGCATCCGGGAAGGCGGTCACGACGTCCCCAGCAACAAAGACGTGACCTCGCTGGACTGGAACGTGAGTGCGGGCCGCGGCGTGTGCTCTTGGTCGCTTTGCGAGCGCTCACCGGGTGGCGTTGGGCAGACCGCTGGTGGGCGTTCGCATACGCCTCAGTACAGCCGAGAAAAGCCGGCTTTGCGCAGCGATGTTTTAGCCGTGCGTGTTGGGGACGTGTCCCCGAGGGGCTCACCACTCTTTGTTCCTGCTCGTCGCCGCCCCGTGCGGTGTGTGTGCACGTTCTTTTGCCTCATGGCGAACTCGTTCTCTCCTGCACACCAGCATCTTGTTCAGAGCTGAGCGAAGTCTCCAGCGTCTTGTTCCAGCTTTTCACGTGGTGTTTGCAATCACGTCACCGGGGCGAAGGGAGGCAGTGTGTTTTGCTTGCTCCCCCCCCCGCCCCGTGGTTGTAACGCCTTGCGTTTTCATTTAAGACGTGTGTGGGGTGGGCTGGGTAAGTCTCTTCACCGGGGACCGAGGATCCGTGGGAGAATATTCTGGCCCTGGGGAGCATTTGCCTTTCCCTTGTCAGCTCTGCCTGAGCTGTGTCGCTGGCTCCTTTCTTGCCCGCAGAGCGAGGGGACACTGTTGGCTACGGGTTCCTACGACGGCTTCGCAAGGATATGGACGGAAGATGGTGAGCCGCCCCCTGGGGTCGGGTTGCGGCAGAGGTGCGGGATTGTGTGGCCGGGGAGCGGGCGCGCCCCGGCGTGGGACTCACGGTGCTTGTCGTCTGCCTGCACTCCAGGAAACCTGGCCAGCACCCTGGGGCAACACAAAGGGCCCATCTTTGCCTTGAAGTGGAACAAGAAGGGGAATTACATTCTCAGTGCCGGGGTGGACAAAGTGAGTATCACCTTGCAATACCTCTTTGGTCTGTGGGTGCTTACTGGTTTTGACTCTCTCGAGAACACCGTGGTTTCTTTGAATTCTGAGGCTTTCTGTTGCTGGTTAAGTCAAGGTGACTGGCGTTGAGTTTGTGGGTTCTCCTGTGTATTGATAGCACAGCATCTCTCCTGACATTGCACCGCCCTGCCGACCTTTGTACAAAGCTCCCGCATCGCCTCAGGTGCGTAGGTCCGTGGCGGCCTGCAGAGTCACAGACTCACCACCTGGCCTCGCGAAAATGTGGGTGCTGAGCCCCACCCTGCGGAGGAGCCCGCTGGGTCAGTGAACGGTGCGTCCTGGATGTCTCTGCATCTCTCTTACGGCAGCAAAGCCTTCTTGCACGCCTGGCTGCCTCCCAGTACACAGGCTGAGCTGAGATACCGTGGCCGTCACCGGGGGGCTGTCCTGGAGCGGCCGTCGTCCCTCCCCCGAGGTGCTGCGGTTCAGATCTCACACACACAGCGCCCTCTCCTGTACATGGCCGGTCGTCAGTACAGCCGGTGGAGTTACTGAGACAGTGGGTGCGAGCGATCAAGGACCTTCAACGGGCACTCCGGCGTGGGTGTTGGCGCATTCGGTGCAGTGACAGAGGAGGTGGGCACAGAGAACGCAGGTCCCGGTGACAGGCCAGGGGCACGCCGGTGCGGAGCGGACGAGGGGTGGAAGTCGGGCCCCCTCCAGCCAGCACTCACGGCCCCGTCACCCCATTCTGGAGAGTTCTCGCAACCCTCACCTCCTCATCGCCTGGGGCTGTTCTGTTTCCTTTTGCTTTTCTACCTGGTTGTCGGTTCTGAGTGTTAGGTGGTGACCTGTTTGGTCAGTGAAAGCGCACACTTGAAATTTCATTAGTCTTTGCCTCTTATACAGCCTGCCTTTATTGGTTAACTACAGCAGTAGTGAAGTGTACGTTAACGTTGCTATATTAAGGTTCCAGAAACTCGTCCCCAGGAAGGGAACGTAACTTACAGAGATGCTGGCGCTAACCTTCCGTGTGGGCTTGACCCGATGGGGATAAGGGTTGATACAGCTCAGATTCTTAAAAGCTCTCGTGTAATTCCTGTTTCCTTGGTCCAAGGTCTGTTGTTAAATGTAAACCTCAGGAAAATAGTACCATTGCTGATGGTAGATAGGAAATTGCCCCAGAAGTGAGTTTACCGATTCCCTGCAGCGTCAGATGCGTTAGTGAGTGCACTAAGGCCCGTGTGGCACCACCATCAGAGAAATGGACAGAGATGTCGATCGGCCTAGAGCTGCCCAAACTGTGAAGGAGCCGGTTGCAGAGGCGCGCACTGTTTTCTCTGGAGTCGTGTGCCCGACATACGACCAGTCCCTTGGACAGGGCCTCTGTTGTCACTGACCAGGAGGCGTGCCGGTCCCCGTGAAGCTGAACGTCACCGTTGATCCAGCACTCACTCACGGAGCTGCTCCTGGCTCCTAAGAACTCACCAGGTTCCCTTGTTTTCTGGGGAAACAACCGTTCGCCCGCATTTATGGATCACGGCATGGGCGCCTCTGCCCAGAGCAGCTGGACGGCCGCGCTGTGCCTAGTCTGCCCAGCTCCAGGAGCAACGGACAGCGGAACGTGCAGAAAGGCCCGTCTGGTCTGGGCAGGGCCAGGGACACAGCAGCTGCATCCCAGGTCTTCCAACCCGGAACAGGAGGGAGGGTGCCCAGCATTCTGGGAGTGTTCCAGAGGTCCGTGACGGCTGCTGTGTGCGTGGGGTCACCACCCACACGCGTGTCTGTTGGGGCAGTGGCATATAAAACACGCCGGATCCCACAGACTTGGAGCAGAATGCCGTGTATCTCGGTAACAGGTGGGAATCGATGACAGGTAGAAACAGTAACACTTCAGCCGGACTGGGGCGAGCTAACACGGCCCCTGAACGCAGTTGCAACATGTTCTCTTCCTTAGAGGGCGCACTGGAGCACAGAGTGCCCCGCGCGGCTCTGGTTCTGGCTTCGCTCTCTCTGACGCGGCGCTGGTTCCCAGGGAAGGGCGGGGACTAACTGGTGTGTTTGTGTGCCGAGCGCAGACCACGATCATCTGGGACGCCCACACGGGGGAGGCCAAGCAGCAGTTCCCGTTCCATTCCGGTGAGCCTTCCGTTCCGGTCCTGTGACTTGAAAACACCAGCAGCACCGGGGGTCACTCCAGACTGGTCATCCCTCCGAATGTGGAGGAAGGCGTCTCCCAAGGGAGCAGGAACACGTAGAGAGAAGGGAAGGGAGGGAGAAAGGGTGGGAGAGAAACATCCATGTCTGGTTGCCTCTTGCACGCCCCCTACTGGGGACCTGGCCTGCAACCCAGGCATGTGCCCTGACTGGGAATCGAACTGGCAACCCTTTGGTTCGCAGTCCAGTGCTCAATCCACTGAGCCACATCAGGCAGGGCAGAGATGCGGCTCCCTGACTGTCTGTGCCTTTAGTGGTAAAGCACTGAGAGCTGAGCACACGCCGGTCGGTGCTGACACCCGCCTGTGCCCCGCCCGCAGCCCCCGCTCTGGACGTGGACTGGCAGAACAACACCACCTTCGCCTCCTGCAGCACCGACATGTGCATCCACGTCTGCCGGCTCAGCTGCGACCGCCCGGTGAAGACCTTCCAAGGACACACGGTAAGCGCGAGGCTGGGCCGGGACTCGGGTTCCTGAGCCGTCCCCAGGGTGCCTGGGATTGCGACTACGACGCTGCTTCTCTGGCAGTTTTGGCTGCTTGGCCTGTGGTGTCGGGCCGGCCAAAAAGTGCCTTTGGTTTTTTCCATTTAGTGGGTCTAGTTGTGCTTAGTTGTCTTTAGGTTCATTCAGAACAATTGTGCTAAATTGTGACAGCTGTCATGTCAGCATGCATAAAAAAACGTTATCAAAATGGGTGAGTTTGTGTGTAGCTATTTTAATATTGACAGCGGAAGAAAATACACAGTGTCTTGTGTGGTATGCTTTATTATTTCAAGGAAGGTAAAAAGTACAACTGAAACGCACAAAAAAAGATGTGTGCGGTGTGTGGAGAAGGTGCTGTGACTCGTCGCATGTGTCAGAAGTGGTTTGTGCATTTCCTTAGAACCGTTGACGTGTTGGCCGAATAACCCTTTGCTGTAGGGCCGTCTTCTGCACTGGAAGATGGTTAGCAGCTCCCTGGCCTTTACCCACTAGAAGCCAATAGCAGGAGACAGCCAACATCCTCAAAACGTCCAAATCAACCACATTATTGGTGGAAATGAAAATGTGACTTATTTTACCGAAAAAAATGTTAACAGACTTTCTGGCCAACCCACTACTAGCTCAGGCTGGATTAACCCAGTCAGGGTGAGGCAGCGGAGAAAACAAACCGTGAGAGGAGCCAGGTGATGGATTGTGCAGGAAAGACTTCAAGTGGCTATTAGATGAATGCACGAGGATGTAAATGAAAGGATGTTGGTAATGAGTGAACAGTTGGGGAATATCAGCCCAGGAAGGAAAACCGTGTTGTCAAGAATGAGTCCAGTGGCAATCTGAGAACTGAGAGGTATGGGGTCTGAAGGGAAAACCTTCACGGATGGGTGAGTGCAGAGATAAGGCCGGGGAACCTCACGACAGATCTGGACATAGCCCGTTTTACTCAGTTTGGTGGGAGACGGCAGCTTTCAGTGCAGGAAGTTGATGCGCTGGCTGACTTATCCGTTCCTGGGTGTGGCAGCCGGGACTCCCTGCGGCCCTTCTAGAGCAGATACCTGTGGTGTCTGAGACGCGGGCCACCCCCCCCCCCCAAACCTCAGCAGTCCCAGGGGTCCTGCTGGGTTTGAGCGTCTCACAGCAGCCGATCCTTAGCACCTCTATTATGCATATAGCAGGTGTGAATTCCTTTGTCACCAGTGCCTGTTCCCCCTGGTCCAGCTCTGTCCCCACAGCTCCCTGACTCTGAAAGGAAGCCAGACAGTGTCCTGCTAATGTCCTGCTGTGGCTGTGCATGGAGTCCTCTCTTTCTTTTCCCTGGCGTGGACTTGTTTCTCCCCTCAGGCGGGACTGTCCCGTGCTTTTCCGAGAAGGCCTTGCCAGGGGTGGGGGTTGCGGGGCTGGGTGGGGAAGGCGAAGGGATTAACTAGAAAAAGAAATACGATGCAGTCTTGGGGACCTCCAGCCGTCCCATGCACTGCTTTGCTGCCGTTCGTCCAGTCGGCTCTGTGACGGGCGTGTTCGCAGCTGACCTTTCTGCACACGAGGGGAGCTTGGTGACTCTGAGGGTTTCTCCCACGGGGCCCATGAGCTGTTTCTGGGTGCTTTCTGGGAGTCGAGACGTGGGTGGCGTTGCAGAGAGAAGTCCGTTCTCGGGAAGGACCTGCTTCCCGCCTTCCTGGGCCCCTTCTCTGTGCAGTCGCAGCCAGAGCCACCCAACCGGCTGTGTCCTGGCTGAGGCTGTCCCCACCTTGGCAGGTCGGCGGGCTCCAGGGTGTTCTGCTGGGTCCACTTTCTCGCGCCTGTGCACCTGCGTACACACATGCTCACACTCACACCCCCCCGCAGCCCCAGCCCTTCCCAGGGGCCTCGTGCCTGGGCTCCCAGCTGCCTTGTGTCCCTTCCCCGCTTCATAGCCTTCCAAGCCCAGTGTCCTCAGCCAGCTGGTGACCGTAGAGGTTGGCCTCGCAGCCCAAGCACATGGAGCAGGTGGTTCGTGTGCCCTCTGCTGGCCACACGGGACCCTACAAGAAGGCCTTTTCGCCTTCCTTCCTTCCTGCCTCGCCGGCCCCACCTCCACCTGTGTGGCTCCTTCGTGAACCTGGGCCCCTTCTCCTGGGCCCAGGGGCTGTGATTTGCTTCCTCCTCCAGGACTCGGGCTCAGGGTGACCGGGGTGCTGGGCCGGACGGCTGCCTGTAGCCATTACCTTCCTGCCGGCTCCCCTGCCCCTCCCACGGCACACCCACCTGCCTGCTGGAACTGCCCACTGTGCAGTGGGCAGAGTGTTGCTGACCTGGCTGTTGGCTCTGGACGTCCAGCTGCCCCGCCCCCCCCCGAGTTGTTTTCCTGGGCGCCCTCCCGGCAGTGACCATTTGCATCTGTCTGCCTTGTGCACCAGGGGTCGGCCTCTGCGTTCCTCCCCCCGTCCCGTTGCCTCAGCCCGAGTAGCCTGTGTTGTACATCAGAGGTCTCCCCTGCCCCCTTCAGTCCCCGCTAAAGACAGCTGTCCTCCATACATTTAGAGCCACCGAGTCGTTAGGAGTGACTTCCAGTGTCGGTCTTAAAACTGCAGTCTTACTGGGTTTGTGTACTGCACTTACCATACGGAAATTCAGTGGCTCCCTCACTGTGATTGTTCCCTTGGACCAGGGTGAGTGAGTGGCTGTTTTTGCATGGTGTATGGCCGTGTTTCTATATAAGTGAGAAAGGCAGAGTAAGAAATGGAGGAACGTGGGTGGGTCCCGAGGTGGTGGTCCTTGTATACCCGGGATAACTGCAGATAGACCCTGCAGAGTTGATGGAGCGCTCCTGCCCCCTGCTGGACCGTTGTGGCACCTACTCACAGGCCGGTTTTTTCTCCCCCCCTCCTTTTTTTTTTTTTCCTTTTTCAAAATTATTATTTTTTTATTTTTTTATTGATTATGATGTTACAGTTGTTCTATTCCCCCCTTCATTCCCCTCCACCCTACCCCCCATCCCCACCATTACCCTCCCTTTAGTTTATGACCATGTGTCTCAAGTCCTTTAGATTCTATATTTCCCATGCTATTTTTGCCCCCCCATCTATTTTCTATCTACTGTCTGTGCTACTTATTTTCTGTACCTTCTCCTCCCTTCTCCTTCTCCCACTCCCCTGTTGCTAATCCTCCACATGATCTTCCTTTCTATGTTTCACTCCTGATCTCTCTGTCCTCTTAGTTTGCTTTCGTTTTAGGTGTGGTTCTTAATAACTGTGAGTTTGTTGTCCTTTCAGTGTTCGTGTTTCTTTAACTTCTTTTTCTTAGATAAGTCCCTTTAACGTTTCATATAATAAGGACTTGGTGATGATGAACTCGTTGAATTTGATCTTATCTGAGAAGCACCTTATCTGTCCTTCCATTCTAAATGAAAGTTTTGCTGGATAGAGCAATCTTGGTTGTAGGTCTTTGGATTTCATGACTTGGAATACCTCTTTGCAGCCCCTTCTTGCCTGTAAGGTGTCTTTTCAGAAATCCGCTGACAGTCTGATGGGGACTCCTTTGTAGGTGACTGTCCCTTTAGCTCTTGCTGCTTCTAGAATTCTCTCCTTCATTTTAATTTTGGCTAATGTAATTATGATGTGCCTTGGTGTGTTCCTTCTTGGGTCCAACTTCTTTGGTACTCTCTGAGCTTCCTGTATTTCCTGGAAGTCTATTTCCTTTGCCAGATTGGGGAAATTCTCCTTCATTATTTGTTCAAATAAGTTTTCCACTGCTGGCTGTGCCTTTCCCCCTTCTGGTACCCCTATAATTTGGATGTTGGAGCGTTTAAAGATGTCCTGGAGGTTCCTAAGACTCTCCTCATTTCTTTGAATTCTTGCTTCTTGACTCTTTTCTGTTTGGCCATTATTTGGTTTCTTCTGGTCCACTCCATTGATTTGAGTCCCAGTTTCCTTTTCATCGCTATTGGTGTCCTGTGCAATTCCATTCATTTCAATTAGTTTCGCCTTCATATATTTGTCTAATTTGTGGCTATAATCAACCAGTTCTGTGAGGATCCTGATGATATTTGACAGTAAAACACATCCTGGCTCTCTGTGCCGGTCGATAGATCCCTGTGTGGGGGCTTTTCCTTCTTTTCAAAGTCCCCTGCTGTCTTCCAGAACGAGGTCAACGCGATCAAGTGGGACCCTTCCGGGATGCTGCTGGCGTCCTGCTCGGATGACATGACGCTGAAGGTACCGGGGCCGGGGAGGGCGGCTGCTCCATCCTAGATGAGCCCCTGCGTCAGGGCTGGTGGGACACTTGCTGCTGCTGTGGCTGCGAGCCTTGTCACGAGCACTGCCTGTCCAGGGCTCCCTGCCATCTGGAGAGCCACTGCCGATGAGCCGAGGGGTGTGCCGAGAACCTCCCCTTCCGCTGAGCCCCCAGCGGTGTCCCCGGGATGTTGCCGGCCCCTCCGCCCGGGCAGCGACCTGCCAGACGCGTGCAGGATGACTGGCGTGGAGCCCCTCGCAGGCGGGAAGCAGCGTGTGCTCACGCCGTTCCCCGTGTGTCCCGCAGATCTGGAGCATGAAGCAGGATGCGTGCGTCCACGACCTCCAGGCGCACAGCAAAGAGATCTACACCATAAAGTGGAGCCCCACCGGGCCGGCCACCAGCAACCCCAACTCCAGCATCATGCTTGCCAGGTGAGCTGGGCGGCCCTGGGCTCGGCGCACGCGGCTGCCGAGGGCGGCCTCACTCCCTGCGGCCGTGAACGTTACCGCAGCAGAGGGAACAGAAAAGGGGTTCTGCACAAGGTACGGCCAGGAAGGGCCGCTTGGACCGAGGCGAACAGATCGTAGCCGCTAGCCGTTCTCTGTATCAAGGGGAAGAGACGTCTCGCTGCCGGTGTGACGAGGACGTCTTCACTCCCTTCCTTCCACACCGTACAAAGAACGGCTCCCTTTGCAAGGGCCCACCCGGGGGAGCTGTGGGGTGACGCCCGAGGAAAGCTGAGCATCCGGAACACGCACCAGGCTGGTAGGAGGGTGGGTCTCAGGTCTGGGCGCCCAGCACACTGCTTCGTGAAGGTTCTTATTACGGCAGAGAAAGGCAGAGCTCAGTGTAGCCATCGAGGGTCCCCCCGTGCAGCAGCTCCGGCCAAAACCCCTGCACGGCAAACCCCTGAAGGCAGCAGCCTCGGAGGACAGTGTGGGAAGGCCAGTCCGTGCAGCCCTTCCCAGATGTGGGAAGACGGGTTTGTGCGTGGCCATGCTGGCCTGCCCCAAACACGCCACGTCATGCTGTGGTACGACGGAATTGTGTTGTCCCCAGGCTGCCTTTCAGGGTGTCTGTTCCACACCCCGTCCTGTGTTTTAGTAAGAAGACTGTTTGGAAAAGCAGGCTGAGGAGAATTCTGAGGTGGCAGTGCCGGGGGCTTAGGGGCCTGGGGTCCCCGGTGCAGAGACGCCTGAGTGTGTGTGTAGCCGGAAAGGACGGAATCTGGGAGGAAGGTCGTGTTCCCAGGGGGCAGCCTCAGGTTCTGGGTGGCAGCAGAGATGGGGACAGTGGGGACGGGGTACGCCTCTGTCAGGCAGGACTCTTGTTCCCGAGAGCGCTGGACCCAAGGCCGTTTGCGGAGAACACCGAAAGGAGAGTCTTTACCTGCATGGTTGTGTTTTAATTCCCGTTGCGTGAATACGTTCATCCCGTTAATTTGCCGTGTTTCCAAATACTTCGGTCAGTAACAGTAAACGTTGTCTTATGTCATGGGAGGATTCTAGGAAGTGCGGTAAATATTCCCCGGACACGTGTGTGGTTCCTGTCCATGGGAAACCCAGAAACCCGAGAATGTGACATCGGTGCTTCCCCAGTAACGGCACCGAGGAAGGAAGGAAGGGTTTGCCTTGTGACTGGCGCGCCGTCCGTGTGCCGAGTCCCCCAGCCCACAGGACAAAGCCTGGTTGTCCCTGCAAACACAACAGCGGTGCAAGGAAACCGCCGCGTGCGCCGTGCGGAGGCGTCTGGGGAAGCGGGGGCAGCTGCCGCGTCTCCGCGCTGACGCTCCTCCCGCCCCCGCAGCGCCTCCTTCGACTCCACGGTGCGGCTGTGGGACGTGGAGCGCGGCGTGTGCGTGCACACGCTCACCAAGCACCAGGAGCCCGTCTACAGCGTCGCCTTCAGCCCCGACGGCAAGTACCTGGCCAGCGGCTCCTTCGACAAGTGCGTGCACATCTGGAACACACAGGTAATCCGCCTTCCGGTCCGAAAGGGCTCGCCACGGCGCGTCCCGCTGACCGGGCTCGCGGCGGCGGCAGTGGGGGCGTGGGGGCTGAGGCAGGAGCCTGGACGCCAGCTGGCTGCCCTGGGGGGACCGTCAGCCTACAGCCACGCGCCTCGTGCGCCACGTGGGTGCGGGGTCCGCCCCCCAGGGGCAGCCCCCGTTGGCTCCTTTTCCCAAGTCCCTGGCGTGAGGCCCTCTGCCTGCCTCGTCCATTTCTCAGGCATGACCTGTGGTGTCGGAAAAGCATAACCCAAGCCTCCTACCTGCAGAGAGCGTGGGGGGCCCCCCGGGGGCAGAGGTATCAGAGCCTCTGCAGAGCCTCCCATCCGCGGAGCGCAGCAGGTCGGAGGCTCCAAGGAATGTCGGCTGCATTGTCACGCCATGTAGATTTTTCTTAAGACGCTGTTTTACGTCTGGGTAGCAAAGGGTGCGTCACTATGGGGCTGTTCTCCTGTCGGGACGGCACTTGAGCAGGTGCAGGCTCCGGCCGAGGGAGAAAGGGTCGGGGCTGTTGCGAACAGCCAGTGCCCCGCCTGGAGCTCGGTCGGGTGCGTTCAGCGCACGCCCCCTGCTGGCAAGGGTGGGTGGTGCAGGAGCCGAGGTAACTGCAGGGGAGGTTCTGGGGGTTGGGGCTCCCCAGGTCCACCTCCCACGATCTGAACTCCCTCCTCGTGGACACGGAAAGGCGATGGCCGGCCTGAAACGGTACCAGCCTGTGGCCAAGCCGGCAGGCCACCTTGGAAACACATCCTGGCTCACCGTGGAGGAAACGGCTCTCTGGAACTAGTGATGGGGGGTTTGTACGGCAACCTCACACAAAACCGACGTGAGGTCCCACCTGCTGTCAAAAGCGCGTCCACGCCTCGTTCCTAACTCACGGGTCTCCCGAGACGAAGCTCACCTTAACCCTCAGTGAGGCCACGCCCCCTGGAAATACAAAAGACACACTTGTTGACCGGGCGCCTCCCCTCCCCCCCTTCCTGCCGGTCCGCAGGCAGCTTCCCACGCGTGGCAGGGAGTCGGAGGGACCTGTTTCCGCAGCCGGCAGTGTGGAGTGACAGTCCTTTTCCCTCCTGCGTGTTGGAGAGCTGCCCTGACGGCGCTCGGGGACAGCCCAGTGCCCTTCCTCTCGGCGGGGCCGCGCGCACTCTGCGTGCCCCCCACACCGCGCCTGACGCCTTTGCTTTGCTTTGCTTTGCTTTGCAGAGTGGGAGCCTGGTGCACAGCTACCGCGGCACGGGCGGCATCTTCGAGGTGTGCTGGAACGCCCGCGGGGACAAAGTGGGCGCCAGTGCGTCCGACGGCTCTGTAAGCAGCACCCACGGTTTGCTGGGGTGGGGGGTGCGGGCGGAAAGGGGGAACCTGGTGCAGCTGGCGGAGGGGCCGTGGGGCGGGTGGCCGTCTCTGTGAAGCCCCCACAGGTTCCCGAAGGCCTTGTGCTTGCTCTTGGAGTCTCCCCAGCCCTGCCACTAGATGGCGCTGTGACACCAGTGGCCACTGCCAAGGTGTCACTTGTTAGCACCGCCTGTGACCTGAGTCTGTGCTGCTTACTCAGGGGGCGTTGGTCAGGTGCCGGGCCCTGAGCCTGCTGTTAAAGCGGCTCTGAGCGTGCGGGACTGCGTGGCTATAAAACTGTATTTATAAAACACAGTTGTGGGGGGGGGGACACAGTGTGGGCCTGCCTTGGTCCCCGGGCCAGGGAACCGGCCAGCCTCAGCTCTGAGCCGTCCCCGTGCTGCCTCGGAGATCCCACGGGCTCCCTGCTTCCCCTCAGGTGTGCGTCTTAGACCTGCGAAAGTAGACACGCAGCCTGGCGGAGAGCAGGAGAGAATCCAATGGACCAGCAGTCGGCCTGGGGGGTCGCGGCGCCTTCAGACTCCGTCCTGACAGCCTCAGAACCGCGTGGCCCAGACGCGTGGGCGTGGACTTTGACATCGGCTCATCCCCGGCCACGGAGCCTCTGTTTTCCCGTAGTCCTCGTCGAGACGTTGGAAACACACACACAACACAACACACGCACAGTCCTGTCCGAGGGGCAGCGCGGGGTCCGCTGGGGCCGGCAGCCACCAGCCGGAGGGGGCGCAATCTGGATCCCACCCAGACGGGCTGATGGCTGAGACGGGAGCGGGGGTGCAAAGCTGTGCCAAAAAAGTAGAAGGAAAAAAATGCTGTGATAAAGACCGAAGGGGGCGCGGGGTAACCCAACACCCTGCAAGGGGGTGGAGAAGCCGACCTCTGCCGGCTGCATTTTCCCGGAGCCACGTACAGCGTTGGCGAAGGGCGCGCGAGGACCAGTCTGCTTTCTCATCCCCACTCGGCCTGTTTCCCAGAACCACCTTCGTCCGGGGGGCTTTTCCGTGGGGGGGAGTCCTGTCCTGTGGGCCCCCCCTCCACTGTGAGGCTGGTTTCGCTCCGTCCCCCTTCCCGGCCCTCGCCCCTCCCCCCACCCTCTGGTGCGGTCTGGCTGGATTGGCTGCCTTGGGGACATGAGGACAGCAGCCTTCGGGGGACTGCGTGGTTGCCCCTTCCCGCCCCCTGCCCCCTCTCCCTCCCGGTCTCTCCGCCCTTTATCATAGTCACTGCGGATCTTAGGTCTCACGGGCACTTCCCACGTGTAACAAGTGCTTTATTAAAGGAAGAAGGCAGGGCAGGGGGACTTTTTACAGGAGAAAAAAAAAATGACTTATAAGAGAAAGAGCCTGGAGTATTTTTGGAAAAAAAAATATTTTTATGTTAAAACGATTTTAAAATCCTGAAATGGCCATCAGACATAGCTTTGTGTGGTTTCATATTTTAAAAATATTCTAGGGAGACAGGCAGGGGGCGAGGGGGCGAGTCCCATGGCCCGGGGCTGCGTGGCCGGTGGGGGATGGACGCTGGGTGGGAGGCAGCGGGACAGTGTCTGGACGGGGCGACAAGTCCCCGCTCCGGGCTGGAGGGCCGTGTGGCGTCTCGGCCCAGTCCACCTTCCTGCTTCTGGGGGGCGGTTAAGAAGGTCGCGCTCTGGCCCAGAGGGGCACGCCCCAAACCAAATGATGTCCAGACCGGCAGCTGGGCTCTGTGCCCTGTGCTGGTGGCACCTCGCTCCACAGGTGACTGGCGGCTCCAGGGTCTCACCTGGCCCGGCAGTGACAGAATCACGGGGAAGGAGGGGCCTTCAGTCCCCGAAGGCAGAGGGAAGAGAAGACGTGGCCGCTCACTTCCACGGGCTCCGTCTGCCCTTTCTCTGCAGAGACGACGAGATTTCCTTTCTTCTAACAATGAATCTTTTTACTGTTTTTAAACAAATGTGGCTTTGTTCCTACGGGAGGTCCCTTTCCTTGGATCAGGTGGCGCTGGTCCCGTCATGAGCCCCGCACTGAGGCGTTGGGGCAAGGACCGTCGGTTTGCTGCGGGTGCAGCGCGGAGCGGGGAAGGTGGCCTGGCGGGGCGCCGTGGAGGGTGCCGGGACCAGCCGTCGCATCCCCGTCCACGCCCGGCCTCACTGCGCTCCCCGCGCAGACGCGCGTTTCAGGATCCCTCGCCAGAGGAGAGCTAGGGGGGTGCGTGGGCTGTGTCCCACCCGGCTTGCGGGGAAGGTCAAGTTCCGTGCACCCCACCCCGCCCCGGGCAACCGTGACCATTCGGTGCCCCGATAAAGCCTGGGTTCGGACGCAGACCTCGCAGGAGCAGATGAGCGGCACCCGGACCCCTCCGCGAACAGAGACGTGCTTCTCTGCACCATGCATCCGCTGTCAAGGGTCCTCCGTGGCGCACACTCGGTGAGGGCAGCCGGGACCGGACAGTCCTCACCTGAAGGCCGGGGGCCGGGGCTTCGCAGACGTGGGAGCCCAGCTGTTCGCCCCCGTCCCCAGCTTTCCCACGCCCGGGACACCGGGGCACCGCCTGGCTTGGCTGCAGCGGGACCAGGGGTGAGAACGCACTCGCGCTCCTCGGGCCCGGCCGGCCCGCCAGGAACACTTGTCTCCGGAACGCCAGCTCGCCTTTGTCATCATCAGCTGTCCGCTGGCACTGTGACAGCTCTCGCCTCCGGCTCCTCGGCGGTGCGCCTGACGCTTATGCGCCCGACCAGAAGCTGGAGGCCGAGAGCAGACCCCGCGGGCCAGGCCGCGCCTCCCAGCGCCTGCGTTCGGCTGGAAGGCGCTCGGCTGGAAGGCGCTCGGAGCGCGCGCGCCCCCAGGGATTCGACCTCCCTTCTGTCCCTGGTCCCAGAGCCGCGTGAAGTGCACTTTGTCCAACGCAAGGGTCTGCTTTGTTCTGGTTCCGTTCCTCGTTTGAAACCGGTTCCACCCTTTTTTTTTTTTTTTAAGTCGTGTTTCTTTGTCCAGTGCAGAAATGGCCCTCCCACCACTCCCGAGGCGTTGGATTCTGGCTCCTGCGGTTTTTATTGTCTGTGTCAGACGCGCCGGCCAGGTGTCCTTGCCCGTCCCCACCTCCAACGCGGCCACGGCCACGGCCACCTAGGGCTCCTTTCCGTTCCCCTGACGCCTCGCACGCGCGCGGGCAAAAAGATTCACCTTGTGTGTCGTAGCTCATTTGTTTCCAGAGATCATATTCAGTGTCTTGAATAAATTGCTCTATTTTGATATTAGACTACGTGGTGGGCGTGCTTCCTTCGTCCTGCTTGGTCACCGGGGGGGGGGGGTCCCCGCAGCCGTGGAAACAGCACGTTCTCAAGAGGACAGGGACGCAAGCGCGTCTTCCCAGGCTGCTGCCGTCCCCGCAGGACCGATGGCCGTGGGTGGGTGTGGAGGCCGGTGTTACAAAAGGCAGCTGCTTTCCGTGTGTTTCTTTCCTTTACGCTGTTCCAGGCCGGCTGTTCGCAGGGGGCCCGGGGAGTGGCTTTTCGCCGGCCACGGGGTGCTGGGCTGGCGCTTGGGCCCCAGGACCACCCTCGTCGTCTGCAGCACCCGGGGGGCCAGCGGCAGCGACTTCTGCTCCGTGACGCAGACTCCCATTCCGCACACACGCACTGCATCTGCCCGGACCTGCACCGTGCAGGCCGCTGTCACCGCGCCGCGGTCATCACTGCCGCGGGCTCCGTCGTTCCGTGGGTTACTGAGGTCCTCGTGCTCCGGTCAGATGGGAACAGAGAGAGGGCAGCCCCTCCCTGGCTGCGTGGGGTCCCAGCGTTGTCTGGGGTGCCGCCCGCTGACTTGTGCGTTCCTTCACTGGCTCCCCACAGAACGGGTGGATGTGGGGAGATGTTCAGAGGAGCCCGGCCCTGCCACAAGGCTGCGGGGAGGTCCCGGGAGGAGCTGGCCGCCAGCTCTCCGCAGGCAGATGGGAGAGCACCCACGGTGGCTCCGGGGAAGCCATGGCTGTCCTGGCTGCAGCAGCCACGCTGGGAACACGTGGACAGATGTTTGCTTCGTACCGTAGAGGAAAGGAGACAGGGACACCCAGACTGTCCCCGAGCCGCGTGACTTTCACTTTCACGTCCCCGGGCACCGTTCTCCACGGCGATCCGGCACGGTCCCCGGGGCCATTGAGCTCCACCGAGTCTCACGTCCTGGGGGGCTGTGTCCGCACACTGAGCTTTTGTGCTCACCGTGCACGTGTGCGTGATCTGCCTGACGGAGACCGAGGACGCACCTGCAGTTCACGGGGACGTCCCCGCTGCGGGGCTGGCTGGGGGTTAAACTGGGCGTCACTCTGAGCTGCGTGCGGGGCGGGGGCGGGAGGACGGGCAGAGGCTTCCACAAAAGACTCGGAAAGTGGCGGAGCGGTTCCCTCACCACCACCACCACCACCCCCGTCCGGCCCCCTTGTCCTCTGAAGCATCTCCGCGTGCAGCGCAAGCCCGGCAGGAGGACGGGGTTGCACGGGGCAGAGGCCAAAGGCGAGGTGCCTCCCAGAGGTACGTGCACAGGAGCCTGAAGTGCCTGCCCTGAAGAACGGGCTTGGAGCAGCAATCAGAGCCACACAAAAGGCAAGTGCGTGTGGGGGGTGGGGAGGGAGGGCTGGGGCACTGCCCTCCCCCAGCCATCCTCCTCCTCCTCATCGCTGCTTTCTGGCCCTCCACATGCCCACAGAGGCAGCCTTCCTGGGACCTTGCCTACAGTGCAGTGGAACTCGCCTAAAGTCAGGTGTTCTCATTTACTCCTTTGCTTGCTCAATTGTGTCTCTCTTGTTCCCCAGGTGGACCGGACGCCCCACAGTCCCGATGCTCAGGTGAGTCCCCAGTGCGTGGGCGGAGCCCAGGGTGGCTCCACCCCCGGAGCAACGGTGACCACGTGTCTCACCCTCTCGCTGACTCACCGCTGACTCACCCCTATCCAAACCCCGCCCAGCTGGCTGGTGGTTGGCACCCGCTAAGAGGGGGCGTTTGAGCTGGTAACCACAGGAGTCAGCCTTCTCGTTTGCAAGCTTCCGACCCTGACTCTGGCTGACAGCAACTCACCAGGGTGTTAGGAAGCTGAAGACCCAGGGTGTCAGGCCAGGCAGACAGGAGCAGCCAAAGTCAGGCCATGGGAGGGGCCCCCTGCCGACCACGTGGGGCACAGGCAGCACGGGGCACTGCCCACACCTTGGTTCTGGGCCCCAGAGTGGCCCCTCAAGCACAGTGGCCCTGCATCCAAAGAGATGTGCCCATGGCCACGCCCTCTGCAGAGGTGCCTCTCCGAGGGAGGCACACGCCCCTGCACAGAGGCTTCTAAGTTAAAGACATGGGACACATCTGATTGGCTGTGCCGGGTTCCGGGCCTGCCTTCAGCTGCAAGGGACGCTGGGAAAGCGAGCAGCTGGAATCGTTGCCTAGCAAGTGGGGGAGAGGCTAACGGGGGTCCTGAAAGAGCAGGGGCTTTGCCTGCTAGGGGCAGACAGCGTGGCAGCCCAGAGATGAAGAACGCAGACGCCACGCAGCAAAAAGGACGGGCCTTCACACACCTCTATCCCTGTGGGATCGACTCCAAGCTTACAAGGGTACAAGCCCGGTCCCAGGGCCCTGGACCCGTCTGTGGCTGTGGGACCCCAAGGGCGCAAACTCCAAAGCCTCCTGTAGAGCCTTTCTAGAGGGAAAGGAAGTGCTAACCTTGACTTAAAAGGTGTCCCACGGTGGAGCTTTCTTCAGCATCCTCAGAAAATAGTACCCTGCTCTGCTATGGACACCGAGCTGGCTTACGATTCCAATGCATACTACAATATCTCTGCCAAGATATTTTTTTTCAACTGATGGAAATATGGAGACCTAGACAACGATGGGAGCATAAACCAGGTTCCGAAAATTCCTGGACTGTCTTTGCTCTACACAGCGCGGGGAGCAAACTCTGAATTCTGTATCAAAGCTGTCTCTTTGGCGCCCTCCAGTGGTTCACGAAGAACATGCAGCGCTTAGGGAGACCAAACGCTGAATTCCGGGTCAAAGCTGTCTCTTTGGCTCCCTCCAGTGGTTCGTTAAGAACATGCAGCGCTTAGGGAGACCAAACGCTGAATTCCAGGTCAAAGCTGCGTCTTTGGCGCCCTCCAGTGGTTCACTCATAACATGCAGCACCTGTGGGGACCACAGGCTGAATTCCTGATGCAAGCTGCCTCTTTTGGCGCCCTCCTGTGGTTGACTGCGAACATGCAGCGCACTTTGCTGCCTTTTGGCATCATCAATAACTTTACAGGAGAGCATTTGCTGTGAGTGCCGTTCAGACAGAATTCAGACTGGGAGTTTGGATACAATGACTTTATTAGTTTTCCCAAGGCCCTGGACCTGGCATTACAGTACAGCATCTACGGAAGCTGCTCAGCATTTGCCCTAGAACAGTGACTTGGAACCTCTTCCATCTCATGGCACCCATAAACTAATTACTAAAATTCTGCAGCACACCCCAAAATATAATTTCTACTGATCTGACAGAAAATAGGTATAATTTTGACTCATTCACACTGATGGCTATCGTGTTGGCTGTTTTCTTTCTTTTTTTCTTATTTGATAATCTGAGGAAAAAGGTCAGTGCCCCTAACTAAATAGTCAAGTATTGCATATGTAAAAAAAAAAATCTCATGGCACATCGCCAGTTGAAAATCGCTGGTCTGGAAGGAATTTTTCCATTCCCAAGTGCACGCTCATGGGTCATTTCTCATCGCAAAGAGGGTCCCTGGGGGGACGCTCTAACTTCGTGCTGAGAGAGCAGAGATGGGAAGGTGAGAACACAATTTTGAAGCATAAGAGATGCAGAGCAGGGGATATGGGGTCGGCCCCTCTCACAGGTCTCCCTGGATCTTGGGGATGGATTCGGCCTCATTCACCTTGCGGGACCCGCTGGGAATATGGATTTCAATTGTGCTGGCATCGGAACCTGGAAGGGGAGTGAGAGACAGGTCACGCTGGTGTCCGCGGTCAGGAAGGGGTGTCCCACTCACAAGGGCGATCACAGTGCACATTTGCGGTTGTGTGGCCACCTGTACACAACTCCAGGAGTTGCCCAAATAGAGAAAGACCCCCCCCACCCCCGGCAAAGTAAGATACCTCCGGGTCTCTTGCCAAGGATGATGTCACATGGTTTCGGGAGTTGGGGGTGGGGCATGGCATATCAGGGGGATAGAAACAAGTGTTCTGCCTGCTAAGAGTCACCCTGGAAGGCTGTGTGATCGTTCCAGGAGCAGGCCCTCCTGCAGGAGCTGGGGGGATCGTTTGGGACAGGGGTCCGCAGTGTCCCTTCATTCTGCAAGTACCCAGCTGGGAGCCAGGCTCCGGGCTGTGCCCGGGAATACAGAGATGGAGGCCACCCCAAGCTGACCCCTGCCGCGGGCCATTGCGCGTCTCTCTGCCTGTCTGCAACACTCTTCTTTGGATGTTCTCATGGCTCCGTGCTGCACTTTACTCAGGTCCCGTGTTACCTCATGCTCAGGGACATGTCCAGTGCACCCTACCTAGAACCACCCTCCTGACCGTTTCTCTTCACAGCCTTCTCAGTACCTGGAATAGAATGCAGTTGTGTTTTTTATTCTCCATTCTGGTAGAATGGAGCGTGTCAGTGCCTATCACAGTCATACCAGGAGCGCCTCAAGGGACACTCAGCACATAGTAGGTGCTCAACAAACACGTGTTGAGCGGATCGGTACAGTCAAGGAGGTGGCTTCACGTCCATGACACGCAGCCTCAATCCGCAACCTTGGGGCCCGGAGACTGACGAGTATGCAGAAAGGCAGGACAAGCAGGATTTAAAAAGAAACCAGCAGGCTTTGGGAGGACACTTCAGGGAAGAGGAAAGATACATTGTGTCAGCAGATGAACACGCTGGGAAATGTGTGCAGGCGCCTGAGTGTCTGCAAGAGGAGACGCTATTGCCGAGCGCGCGGAATGGTGCGCATGGAATGGTGCGCACGACGCGCACGAGGGCGCGTGGGGAGAGAGCGCAGCGCCCGGGGCTCGCTGCCAGGGCGGGATTCGGGCGAGTCAGGGAGCACACGGTCCGAGCCGGACCCAGCGTGGGAACCCCACGAAGGAGGGGAGAATTGTGGGGAGCGCGGGGACCCTGTTAGAAGGATGGAATTGTGGGAGAGAAGGGATTAGGGTTTAGATGAGGTCTTGGGTACCTGCCCACTTGCAGTAAGTGTAAAGCTGACCCCAGAAGTCACGGGTGGTGACGGCCCCAAAGCCCACGTGGGGCTGTTCCATAAATGGCCTGACGTGTGCTAAGCAGCAAAATGCTGGAATAACTTTAATTTCCGAATCGCACAGCTCTGAGCTCTTCTCAGCCTGTGGATGTGGTACGTGCAGCGGTGGTGATGTTCCTCCAGGGGGCGCTACACGCGTAGTTGCAAGTCCAAGAATCTGACGTTCAGGTCGCCTGTGCACTTGGAAAGGATGATGTTTACGATGTGTGACTCCCACCTCGATTTGTTCAAAACAAGCAAAAGCAGCGAGGAGCAGCAGTTGACTGGGGCCACAGTTGGCGCACGTCTGACGGGGACAGTCCCCCAGGAAACGTGCAGCTTCGGCAGTTGTGACACTATCCAAACTCAGTGACCGAGAAGACGTATTTCCTTCTTTTAGTATTCTCCCCAGTAGAAAGTGACAAAAAGCGCAGGTCAAGTCTCAAAAAGGGTCTTGTTCACATGAGGACCCTGTGTTGTGTTCCACAGGGTCTCTGCTTTTTCTTCTTTAAATGATTTTATTTACTTATCTTTAAAGATAGGGGAAAGGAGGGAGAAAAATATCATTGCGCAGTTGCCTCTCCTGCGCCCCCTCCTGGGGACCTGGCTCGCCACCCAGGCATGTGCCCGGACTGGGAATCGAACCTGCAACCTTTTGGTTTGTGGGATAATGCCCAACGCACTGAGTCACACGGGTCGGGGCTAACTCTGAGTTTTCTAGAGCGTCTACGTGCAGACGCTGGACCTTGGAGGGGTGGAGCTGTGCCATGGCCGGGTGGAGATAGTAAGAGGAACTGCTGACTGATCCTGATCCCATTTCTGATGGTGACACGGGCAGATTGGGATGCAGTTTCATTGTCATTTGCAATGTTTTCCATTTCCTTGACCTCCCAACATGGCCTCAAGCAGTTTCAAACGCCCGGGTGGGGGAGCACACAAAGCTGGAAGTTTGCAGATACGATTTTTGGCTCACTCCTCAGGCGGCGGGCACCGTGCGATCAGCAACTCCATGGGTGGGTCCCTCGTCCTGGAGGGAGGGCTGGACCAGTTGCGAGCCTGCAAACACGCGGTCTCCGCCTTGTAGCTTTAGTACTGTGTCCCTTCAGGCGGCCTGAGGACCGTGTTTCTGCGCCCGACAGTGTGAACCAAGCTCATCGCCTGAAAACAAACCCTCCTTCCCTGTATCTGAACAGCAGGAACGCGAAAGGAAATGAAACTCCGAAGTCACAGGCCTATTTTCCCTGCCACAAATCATGTCATTTCTGCACAGAGAGGTTGGCGCCGGGTGGCATCTCTGGCTCCGTGTGGGCACACGATTGCATCTGCATTTAACTCAGGCAACATGTTGGCACCTGTGTGGATCTGAGCGCTGGGAAGCCCAATGATTCGGGGACACTGGTCCTGACCTCTGGTCACTGTGTTCCCCAGGGGACGCTTGTGGATGTCCGAGGACAGTTCTGCCGGTCACGCCTGGGAACAGAGCTCCTGGCATCTGGTGGATGGGGACCAGGGGGGCTGCCTGAGAGCCTCCGGCGCCCAGGAAGCCCCACCGCAGAGTCAGGCAACTCGCAGTGGCCACGGCACTGAGGGGCCAACCTGCTCTGAGGGCAGACACAGTGACGGGTAAGGGGGTTGAAGAGAGAATTCAGGGCCATCTCTACCCAACTCCCGGCGCCAAATGAGGAAAGAAGAGCAGACTCTAGACCCGGGACACACTCAACATCCTTGGACATTCTCACACTCAGCTTCCCAAACTCTTGTTTACACACCCGGCGGTCTGCCGTGGAACCGCAGCTTCCAAAGACCTCCTCGCTCACGGACCGACTGGCCTCTACACCTCAAATCGTCACCGAATCGCCACATCCGTTAGCACTCTGTGGGTGTTACAGAGGTGCCTTTTTCATCAACAGACATATTTTTGCCACATTGAACCCCTACAAGGAACCCTTACACAGACAGAAGTGAAGAGTCCACTGGCAGAAATTCATCTACGTTACAGTTAGGATTGTAGCATAAAAAAATAAGTAAGTGTTGCTATGACGGCCACTTCACTCCACACCGGAGGTCTCCAAGGTGGTCTGCCCCACTGAAACCCCTCACGTTTGGTGTTTTTCACCGAGGGGCAGTGCATCAAAGAAATGTGGGTTTCGGTGGCGAAGCAGCTGAGAAGGGGCGGTTTGAGGTAGCTGACGGTGCCACCCCGGGCAGCCCACTTTCCCGGACGGGGCGGGCGAACTCCAAACACTAGCTAGCCGGCCCAGTCAGTCAGACGAGTCAGCGGGTGGGTGGGCCCGGGGAGCTGGTGTCTGGCTGCCCACGTGTTGGACAACGCGGACTTTTTCTCCGAGTTTCACGGGACGTGCGCGATGGGATTTGCATCCTTTTCCGCACACCTGAGGGACCGCGTTAGGGTTCCCAGGGTGCCCTTTCGAGACCACAGCGCCGGTCCTTCAATGCAAAGGACAGACCCCAAGAGCCCCTGCTGCTGATTCTCTTCTTCACTGTTCCCCGCCCCATGTGACCTCAATCCGTGACACCCCCTACGATCTCCAGAGGTCGTGTGCTGATTCCACCATGACTGCTCTGAATCACAGCAAGTGTGAGTGCTGGGTCCCAAGGGACAACTTACCTCCTATTCAAAATGCCTTCCATTCCGGGCAGAGGGGGGAGCATTTATAATCAGTGCAAGGCGACAGCACTTAATAACTACACAGATGGCTCCATTAAAACAGGGGTGCCGCAGGTGATGAAACAAACGGCACGGTCACCAACGGCCACCCTAACGCTCGGTGCACACCCTGAAGTGCATGAGAACCCTCGTCACCGTGTCTGCCAAAGGACTTTTGGGGAGCCCCGGACCGTTCCCCGAGGCCCGCCCGCCCCAGCAGCGGGGCCTTACCCGCAGACAGCATGCTCAGGGCCTCGTCGGAAGTGTGCCCGTTCACGCGCACCAGCTTCCTGGGAGCGGGACTGTCGCGGGGCACACAGGGGCGCTCGTGGCTGGGGAAGGCCTGCTCGGTGGCCGAGGACATCACGGGCTCCCACTGGATCTCCCTCCGGGGAGGGCGCAGGTCCAAGCTGCAGCCGGTCCAGCCGTAGAAGGCCAGAGACAGGAGCAAGCCCTGGGCAGGGTTCAGCATGCTCTGGAAGGGGCACAGGAAGGGCAGGGGTGAGCGCAGGCTGGGGTGGGCTGACAGCGCGGGCGCCCGCTGGCCGGCCTCACCCGGACCAGCTGGTTTGGGCTGAACAAGTGGCTGCGGGAAGTATGCCTCACCAGCGTGTGGTTCGGGGAGGGAGACCGTGAACGCAGGTCTTGCTTTCAAGTCCTGTGGATCAGAGTCCCCCCCTTCTGAAGCGACATGAATGTGCATTCTGCGAACAACTCGTGTGCCTTCGTTATTATAAATGCCACGTCACGGAAACACGGCGGGGGTGTGTTCTGGCCACTGGTTTTTTTTTTTTTCATGCCCATGTTATTACGTGGTTGTATTTAGTAAACGTTTTTAAAGATTCTATGTATTTATTTTTATAGAGAGGGGCAGGGAGGGAGAAGGAGAGGGAGAAAAACATCAAAGTGAAAGAGAGGCATCAGTTGGTTGCCTCTCGAACACACTTGGCCTGGACACTGACCCTGCTACCCAGGCACGTGCCCTGACCGGGGATCAAACCGGCGACACTCTCTCTACCCACTGAGCCACTGCAGTCAGGGCTATTTAGCATCGTTTTTATACCCTTCTTTTTTCAGTTAATACCAGCGACTTCGTAATTGTCATTCTTCACCTCTGCATAATATTCCAGCAACACGAAAGACCAAAATTTACCTCCCTACGCCCCTTCTTCAAAAATCGGGGTCGTCTGTAATGCTTTGGAATCGTGGGTAATTTTACAAGGAATGCCTTCATCCCCTTGGCTTTCTCGAGGCCTGAAACATTTCTTCAGGATAAATTCCCTGAGGCCTGCGTCCGCCCTGAGAGCTCCGATACATTGGGCCAAACAGACCTCCCGGAGCTGTACCCACAGAGTATTGGTCCAGGAACCCGTCCACCCGTGACTTTCAGTAACAAGGCATCATACTTCTGAGTGGGGCTGGGTTTTTTTTCCTCTCGATTTCTTTTTTTTCCCCGAAGAAGAACATGTGACGTCAAGGATGACCTACCATGATAAACCACGTGGTCTTTGCTGCATTCCTGGCATATTTCAAGGAGGCACCACGGACGTCGGCTTGCATCTCGAGGTAGAATAAAAGGCTTTCGTTGATGAGGTTTGACACCCAGCTGTTGGAAAGAAAATGGCCCGTGGCTTAGGGAACAGGCAGCAGAAAGGGTTTTCATGCGAGGCGTCGGCGGAGGGGTCGGCCCAGAGCAGCCCTGTGGCAGGGACAGGGAGGGGAAGACCAGCAGGGAGGAGCCGATGCATCAGAACCTGACGAAATATTTCTACCCGTGTTGGCTGATATTATTTTCCATAACCATGTAACAAAGAGATTGTCTTGATTGTAAGCTCATGCACCCTTTTCATCAAATCGTAATGGGCCATGAAGGCAGGAGCAGAATCTGGTTGAGAGAAAATTGCTGTCTGCCCTTCCGGCCTCAGCTGGGCGTCATCTCCCCGAAGACGCGCCCTGACCCGTGGGTCTCCCTAGACACTGGCATCCTGGGGTCAAGGCGGAGGCAAGTGCGCGGATTTAGAAGGTGTGGGCACTTGCTTATTAAGTGCCCTTAGTAGGGGACACGGCAGCAGAGCGGTACGGCTGGGGCTTTATATCGAATTTCAGTAGATTTGAGTCTCTGCCCAGACTCGCAGGTTGTGGGCTTGCCGCCTGGTCTTGGGGGGCCCACACACTATTTCAAAGCTTTCTTCCCCAAAGACGCTTCCCTGTGGGGCGTTCGGCTCACACGCGGAAAAGCAACACGGCCGGCGGCCTGCGTGGGCCTTCCCGGCGACAGGGAGGGAGCACAGAAGGGAGGTTACGGACCAGACCACGAAAACCAGCATCATCTTGAAAAACCGGATCTGGATCCTGGCTGCCATGCGTCGCTCCTTCTCTGTGTAAACGCCTTGTCTTGCTTTGAGTAAGGAGGCCACTGTGAGGAACAGGAAAAGGCGCTCAGGACGTCACTCCTGAGGCCACCGGAGGGACAGGGAGGCGGAGCGAGGCCCACGCAGCCCAGGAGCAAAGCCGGGCGAGCGTGAGCCCGGGCCAGGCGCCGCCATGGTCCCCTCACGGCCCCTGCGTTGCCGTGCTCAGGACGGAGGGAGGATGGGTATTAAAAATGTTTCCTGTGAAACAAGTTTAGATCGATGTGCGATTTGCACACGTAACACAGAACGTTTCCGTTCACTTGGACTCAGCTTCCTCCAAAGTTGTCAGCTTACGTGACTGCGGTCCCCTCTGTCACAAGGAAATAGACAGATGGGTACAGTCCTACGCGTTAAACTCTGGATTAGCATTTGGACCGTACCAGTTCAGGAACTTTATCCTTTTTCGAATATTTCATGTATTTACTTTTAAAACATGACACTGGGTGCCTGTCATGCGCCCCCTACTGGCGACCTGGTTTGCAATCCCAGCTTGTGCCCTGACTGGGAATTGAACCCACAACCTTTCGGTTTGCGGGCTGGCACTCAATCCAGGGAGCCACACCAGCCAGGGCGGGGAACATTATTCTTAAAGATTTATATGTTCAGTTATAAAAACGGCGCACGCTTGCTACGCTACAACGTGGAAAGGTGTGACGCGTTTCCTCGTGGACAGGTGGGAAAATGTAAAACAGTGTCCGAATGAACAGCCCGTGGCCTACGCAGCAATGACCACTGTTAGCATTGTGGCGTATTCCTTTCCCATCATCTGTCATGCCCGTTTGTTCGATATAACCAAATCACGAGTACAATTTTGTTTAAAAAACGGCTACGTCTAATACCCTACTTTTACACAGAGACACGAAAAGACGGACATGAAAAGCCGCGGTAAGTTCCCGCTCCCCGAGGTAGGGTGCACCCCCTGTGCTAACGCTCTCCAGCGATCAGTGCACCCTTGGTGGCCTTCCTCCTCCCCTGATGCATTGGAGAGATTTCGGCAGCTGGAGCAGGATGGGGGCTGCCACGCACGGCCCCAGCCTCGGCCCAGATGTCTTTCCGCTGAGTTTTGCTGAGTTGTAACATCGCCTTAGCTGGTTCTTACCACCGTCTCCGACTCATACCCTGTGATTACTTCCTTTTCCTGCCCGGCGGAGAATAGACAGAGGCCAAGTGCACCCTGGGAGTAACCAGGCCCCCGACGCCTCAGGGGGCCCTCCCTACCCTCCCCCAGCCCTATCTGCTCCTGTGTCACCTCCACAGAGTCGCAGAGTCACTCCTGGGCCCTCCACGTCACACCACGGGCAGACCCAGAAGGAGCCCGCACGCAGCGGGCCAACGCTCCCACGACTCACCCGCCGTCACGGTCTTGCGGAACAGGATGGGGTTGGCCAGGAGGACCAGCAGCAGCGGCAGGTACGTGGTGACGTAGTGGGGGATGGCGTGCTCCAGGCCCCTCTCGCACCTGAAGGAGGAGAACCAGGGGGCGCTGGGAGCCGAGGCAGCACCATGAAAGCCAAAGGCGCGCACAGGCGCCCATCGGCTGCTGACTCTGCCCCAGGACACGGGAGTCTAGCTCAAGACCATGGACAAGGCATGCGTCCCGTCTTGCTTCTGTTTGTCTCGTCCGTGGGGGGACCTGTAGGGCTGAACTGTGGGGGAGAGGCAACAATTCCCTGCTGGGAAGCGGCAGAGAAAGGAAGGGACAGCCAGCGTGGGGGACTCCGCCACGGGCTCCGTGCAAGGACAAGGCACTGAACGGACGCGTTTGGTTTGCAGCGTCTCCTCTGCGCTGTGACTGCCTTGCCCAGCCGACCCACGGAGGGAGGCGGGTGCTGTTTTTCAGCAACTGGGACCCCCAGCTTTGTATGGGAATGGATGCGGGTCTCATGGTTCCGGAGAGCATCCCCGCACTGGCTCTTTGCAGGCAGAGGGACCCAGCTTTTCACAGATGGTTCCGGAGCATCGTCGGTGTCCATGGGTCCCTGCTGCCGTGCCGCACCCAGGCAGGGCACCAAGGCGGGAGCTTGTCCGGTGAGAAGGGCCGAACACAGAGGGGAAAACGGCAAAGAGGAAGAGAGAACGGAAGGCACACTGTGCGCAGCCAGCCACGCACAGCAGGGACTAAGGCAGAGTCAGGGAAAGGCACACAGGAGCCAGGCCCTAGGGCTCAGCGGCCCAGTGGACTCCCACGGCCCCTGACGCCGTCCTGACCCGCCAGGCCGGACAACCCCCCACCCAGGGAGGGCCCGGGCGAGCAGGCCGGCTCACCTGGACTTACCTGGACTTACCTGGACAGGGACGGGTGGTAAAGCATCAGCAGCCCCTCAGCACAGAGCAGGGCGGCCAGTCCCCAGGCAATGATGTGGTAAAGCACCAGGATGCTACGGGGGCAGCAGAGGGGCGGAGGCTGAGGGGGCTCGTCCCCCCGGGGGGGGGGGCGGACTCCCTCCTGGGGGCGGACACAGTCGGAGGGCAGCCTGAGAGCTCAGATTCTTGGTTGTTTTTTTTGTGTGTGGTGGGATTCACAGAATGCAAAACTAGGCACGGGAACGTGGACGGCCCCGTGGTATGCAGCACGGGCACGATGGGGTGCCCCAACGCCGGCCCCAAACCCTGGTCCTGCCCCCTAGGACGCCCCAGACCCACGCAGCGCTCACCCCCATCCCCCCACCCCCTCCCCAGCCTCTGGCCGCTCCTGAACCCACTTTCTGTCTCTGGCATTTGTTTGCCTGCTGTGACATTTCACCTACACGAGGTCATATACAACATGCTTCTTCGGCTCAGATATAAGCCTCTCCAGGGTGAGCGGGTCAGCGCCTCCTAAGTACCTGGCTCTCCCTCAAAGCACGGGGCTCCCGCCCCCGATCTTCCCAGGTCACCCCTGGACCTAAGTAACCGTGTGTCTGCAAGCCCGCTCCCCACCGAGGAGGTCTCTGAAGAAGTGGGTGGCAGGGTGCAGCTGCAGAGCAGGGAGCTCCCGGTGCGGCCCGCCCCTCCCCAGCCACCCCGCATAGCTCGCATTCTTGGGCCGTCTCTCTCCTGCATCCCCGCACTCCCACCCACCACACCCTGTTCCCCCAGAGGAGTCGGGGCGGCCAGCCCGGCAGGTGGGGCCAGGAGGAGCGTTTTGACTGTTCCGGTGCAGCCTTGCATCCGCCTCCCGTGGGCGACAGGCTGGGGGCCGGGCTGCTGGCCACGGGTGCGGCCCCCGCCCCGTCAGGATTCTAACCGGGAAGGCGGGCCGTGGAGACGCGGGCAGAGATCAGGGATCAGAGAGAAAGGACGCCCTTCTACAAGGAGACGGGAGGGAAGGGACACGGAGATGGCACTTAGGGCCTGAGCTTCGACACGGGCGGCTTTCTGCCAGGGCTGACCTGCGCACAGAGCCCTCCGTCTCCCCCATCCTGGACCCTGACCTCGGGCTGCCAGGCAGGGAGCCAGGCGCCGGGCCGGTTTGTGGTTCCACTCACTGATGCACCATTGGTGGATGCCTGCATGTGCCCCGACTGGGGATCGAACTCACTGCCTTGGTGTATGGAGAGGGCGCTCTAGCGCACTGAGCTACGTGGCCAGGGCTCTAGTGCTTTCTGTTCTTACACCTCCACATCCCACACGTGGAACCAAAGTAGCAGTTTAAATGTTAACTTTCCATGACCTTTTTTTAGGATTTGGATTATAAGGAACAATCCTTCTAATAGTCCCATTGCCAAAGAAAACAGTGAAGGAGTGGAAGGCTCTGAAGGGCATGTGGAGTGGAATCCAGCCGTCCCTGCAAAGCCTGGCCCCCTGCCCTGCAGTTCCGCGGGGACCCCTTCGCGCCAGCTGCGGGCTCCTAATTACCAACTGCAGGTGGACTCCACCCTGCCCTTGGGAGGCATGGCCGTGGTTTGCATTTTGCATCCTTGGATATTTGCCTCCTGCTTGACGGGCAAGCCCTTGGAAGCCACCCCGGGGTTCTGCTTCCTCACACGGAGCTTCCAGGCGGGTTCCACGCACTTCTGGGCGAGAAGATGGCTTCTCTAGGCTTGGCCTGGCCTCCACATCCAGACAGCAGCGCCAGGATGCCTGTGTGACCCCAGTCCCCCAGGGGTCGGGGGAGGCCGTGCCCCTGCCTATGATAACAGCAGGAAGCAGACACGTCTTCCAGCTGCCTTTCAGCGCTCAAAGGCTGCAGTCCATGTGCTGGTCTGCAGCTCTCTGGTGTGTCAGAGCTCTGACCCTACTAAATGGAGTGAGAAGGCTACCAGACAAAGACACACCGTCTCACTGGGCTTCGGGGACAAGGACCTCGCAGGCTGCTAGCTGCCCACCCACAAACAGTCTGTCTCCCTTCTTCTCTTAGTAATGGAACCTGGATGGCATGCTGAGCGTGCTTGGCTAACCAACTGCTCTCGCCTCCTCTGGCAGCTAAGCGTGGCCATGACGCTAAGTTCTGGTCAATGATGTAAAAAGTGGAACCGTGTGAAACTCCCAGGGAGACTGCTTAAAGGGAGGTCCCTTTCGCATTGCTCGCTTCCCACTTCCTGTTGCCTGGAATGCAGATGTGGTGGCTGGAGCTTCAGCAGCTATCTTGGGCCATGAGGGGTTGAGGCTGGAAGTCATGTAATTGGATGGTGGAACAGGAAGGTAGAAGGAGCTTGGGTCCCTGATGTCCATCATGAGGCCTGGACTGCTTACCTGTGGCCTCTTTTAGCATGATAAACTCCAGTCTTGTTTAAATCATGATTATTTTCTGTAGTAAAAACTAATCCCCTCTGATACATCTGCTTAGTTACCTTTAATGATCTTCCCTAGAGAATTTTTTACAAGCAGAGAGACGGAGATTCTACACAGATGTCTAACAGCTTGAGGATTAAAGTAAAAGGGTTGGAAGAACAACCACAAAAACAAAGTAAGCCTTGAACTTCAGACCAGTGAGACCACCTTACTGATGTCACATACATAAGGAAGAACAGTGACCTTAGAGCAAGGCCTACTAAGACTGCCCGGTGTGTTCTATAGCCTGACCATGTCTGTACGTGATTACTGTGTTGATCTTAAAAGCGAATTCAACAAAACTGCGCTCAGACAACTGGATCTCTACATTAAAAAAGATTAAACAGAGTACAAAAAAGAGTGAAGGTGAACGTTCCCTCACCGACAGACAAAAATTGATTCAAAATGGATCGCAGACCTCATTCCAAGTGCTCCGACCATCAAACTCTTTGATGGAAACATACGTATCAATCTCTGTGACCTTGGGTTTCTTGGATGATGGCAAAATTACAAGAAACAGAACAAAATGGGATCTTATCAAAATTAAAACCCTTTGTGCTTCAAAGGATGCCACCAAGTAAGCAGAAAGACACCTCACCGAGTGGGAGAAAATACTGGTGAATCACCTGTGTGGTAAGGCACTGGAGTCTGGGATATATAAAGTAGTTCTACGACTCAATAATAAAAAGACCAATGGCCCGATCGAAAGTGGGCAGAGGGGTAGCACAGACATTTCCCCGAGGAGGCCTTCTGAGGCTCATGGCGGCGTGAGCAGACCTCAGCGTCATCAGCCACCGGAGAAATCAAAGCCACAGTGAGGCGCCACTTCCCATCTACCAGGATGGCTGGAAAGGGTCCCAGCCAAGCGAATGCCCAGAAAGTAACAAGTGTTGTTAGCACAGGTGTGGAGAAAGTGGCGCCTGCATGCATTGCTGATGAGAATGTGAAACTCGGCAGCTCCTTGGAAAGCAGTTTGGCAACACGTTACAAGGTGATACATAGTTACTGTGTGACGGGGAATTCCCCTCCTCACTCTACAGCCCTGAGTCTGTGAGGAAAACTCTCGGTTACAAATGTTACAAATGCTAGTTTCCATATCGCTCCAAATAGCCAATAATGGAAACATCCTAAATGCCCGTCAGTTGACAAATGGGGAAAATGCTGTATTCCCTTTGGTGGAATATTATTCGGCAATGAAGAGGAATGGAGTACTGACAGGTGCTACACCAGGGGTGAACCTCGGAAGCCTGAGGCTAAGTTTAAGAAGCTGGATTCTGTTTCTAGGAAACGTCCAGAACAGGCAAACCTGGAGATAGAGAGCAGATTAGTAGTGGGCACCGGCTGAGGAGCAGGAGAAGGGGGAGTATATTCTCATTCTGTGCATGCAGGAAAAGGCAATGGATCTTAGACCTTTAAATGGCTGGACTTTACCAAGCTGTTTTTTCAAAAAGCAAGCAGGGCCCATCCAAGGGGATTGAAATGGATCGTGAACTTGGTGAGGGGCAAAAGCATCCAGGACCTGCAGCCACGCCCAGGACACGGGCCCCACCCCGCCCTCCTGCTCCCATTTGTCACTTAGGTTGTGCACGGTTGTGGTTCCTCACCATTCATTGCTCAAGGGCCCCAGCCACAGTCACGGCTGCCGGCTGCCCAGAGCCTGCTGCGTGACAGGCGCAGAGTCATTATCGACTATTGACCATTGACCCCATCAGCATGTTCCCTCCTCCACCGCACCCTCCTGAGGTGGGCGTGGTTTCACCACGGAGAGCCCCGCAGCCCCTAAAATTATGGAATCTGCAGCAGGGAGCGCACAGGGCCTCAAACCACAGATGGGGGGCAAGGGGGGGGCGCTACCCACTGTGAGGCCCCGCCCCAAGCAGCCCCTGCACCCCGGCATTCTCGGGGTCCGCACTGGGCATAAACACCGTTTTCCTCGAGCCTTCAGATTGCACCCCAGTTTTGCTATCCTCATGCCCATTCCTTGTCCGTCTTTGTCCAGCTGCAAACCTGCCCTGTACTGAACCGTGTGTTTTCAGGGTTTTAAGGCCTGCGTTTTTCGCACTCTGCCTTTGGCCTTTTCTAAACAGCAGCGGCCGCGCTGGGGTCAGGGGCCCGCGGGCAGGGTCCCGGGGTGTCCGGGGCCCACAGAGCAGGGCGCCAGCCCGGGCAGCAGGCCGTGCCGGCGCGTGCGTACCTCAGCCCCGATGACCTCCGGATCACCAGGTAGGCGTCCACCGCGTAGCAGAACAGCCACCAGAAGCAGGCGCTGTACAGCACCTGGATCCACACCTGTGGGCACGGACGGCGGCGTCAGAGCTGCGGGGCCTGGGCTGCAGGGTGTCCCGAGGTCACCAAAGCGCTGCGGGCGGCCCTCCCCTCGGAGGTCAGGGAGCCACGGGGGACAGCCCCGCACCCACGTGGACAGTGCGCAAATGGGCTGCCAGTGGCGGCGACACGCGCAGGCTCAGCCCACTGCGCCGTCCTGTCCGGTGCAAGGCACGGCAGAGCAAGGTGTCAGGTGGGCGGTTCGCGTGGTGCGGGGCTCAGAGCGTCTTTGAAAAGGAAGCTCGTTTGCAGAGAACGAAGGTGTGGGGGCGGGAAGGACTCAGAAGCGTCTTGCAGGGGAAGGCGAGGTGCTAGGTTGGAAGCACCGGGATGCAACCTGCCTCCGGGTCTGTCCTGACGCACACGCGCCGGGGGCGTGTTCCACACGGCATAATACACCCCATAAATCAATCCTTTTTTGGGGGGGGGGGCAGTTGCTTCTGACGGTGGCTGGACCTAAGGTACGCACTGCACAGTGGGGGAGGGAGAAACCGCACTGCGCCCCCAGGCCCCTCCCCGGGGCTCCTCAGTTCTGCAGAGGCAGCTGGGTCTCGGATTTGGGTTTCTAACAAACTCCAGTGGTTCACTTGGGGTTGGTGGTTGCAATGGGGGTTCGGGGGATCCCCTCTTGGAGGAGCCCGCCAGGCGCACGGGGAGGGGGGACGGAGGAACCAAGGGGGGCTCACTCACCGCGCTCCCCACGCAGAAGGCGGCTGGCCAAATGTCTGTCCCGTTTTCTCTGGAGACGTTTTCCACAAAATCCGGGAGTCCTAGCCACACGGCAGACCGTACCACGATACCTGAGCGAGAATTGGATGCGGGGGAATTCCTTTGTGTCTCGTCCTAATTCACATCTAAAGCTGACTTGTTAGTAAAAAAAAAAAGATACATGGATGCATAGATGCATTGATTAATTAACTGATTGATTACTAGAGAGACAGAAAGAAGGGAGGAAGGCAGAGAAGCAACCCACTTGCTGTTCTGTTTACAGAAAGAGAAAAATAGGGGCAAGTTATTCAGAAAATGACCGCTGTCCTGGCAAAGCCATGCCCGGTACTGGGATTTCCAGTAAAGCCGTCACCAGCCATAACCGTGACCAATATTTTGTGTTTCCTTGGCATTAAGAAGTGATTATGTAAATAACAATCAGTACCTCTCAGCGACACTTTCAGTGGCCATGTTAGCGTGGTGCTTTTACTCCCCACTGAGAATATGTTCACTGATTTTAGAGAGAGAGCGACAGAAGCAGTTGGAGAGAAAGAGAGAAACGTCAGTGTGAGAGAGAAAGTTTGGTCGGTTCCCTCCCACTTGTGCACTGACCAGTGACTGAACCCGAGAGCCAAGTAAAGGCTCTGACCGGGAATCGAACCCACAGCCTTTTGGTGTACGGCGTGACGCCCCCACCGAGCCAACCAGCCAGGGCCACATTAACTGGGTCTCATTCATACATGAAAGAATGATGGAAAAAGTGCCCTTTTGAAGTTGAAAAAGATACTTGATTCATTCTTTTAAAAAACACATTTAAGATTTTCACAAAGTAGTGGTTGAAAATTTTTTTCTGATACTGATTATTTGTGAGGGTTTTTTTTTCTTTCTATTAGACCCAGATGTGTAATTGTCCTCAAAACACTGTACCCCCTTAAAGTACAGAACGTGGTTCTTGGTTAAGTAACACAGCACTTGTATTTCAGCACACACTACCTACAGTACTTTGGGTTAAAGTATAAACTAGTATAATCCTTGTGTTAGAGTATACACTAGGCGTAATAATTGTGCTAAAGTATACACTAGCTACAATATTTTCTGTTGAAGTATACACTAGCTATAATTCTTTATGTTAAAGCATGCTGTACCTACGATTCTTTGTATTAAAGCAAGCGCTAGCTACGATACTTTGTATTAAAGCAGCTAGCTACACTTGTTTCTGTTAAAGCAGGCGCTAGCTACAATTGTTTGTATTAAAGCATACCGTAGCTACAATTCTTTGTGTTAAAGCAGGCGCTAGCTGCAATACTTGTCCTAAAGCCTACGGTAGGTACAATACTATGTGTTCACACATCCAGTGGTTACAATACCTGGTTTCGGGCGTGCACTAGGTGAGAGTCTACTGAAAGGAATCTGTCACTCGGCACACAGGTACACACCACGGACTAGCGAACACTAGTAGACTGTGTGATACACTCGTGCCCTTATACCGTGTAATGCACTAAAAACACACTGCAGGACACACCACTAAGCATGAGCTACACAACTACAAACACCAAAGGGCCATGGATCTTCTCCTTAACACACTCCTGGGAAAACCAACGCTTTAGTTCTATAGAAAGAAGAGAGTGCTTTCGGCATGTAGCGCCCCCTGGCGCCCAGTGGATGCCCTGACAGGCATCCATCCACATTGCTGATTTTTCTGTGACAGCTTCCGGTCACCCAGCTTTTGTGACTTCCGCCTCTGCTCATTCACCCACGTTATCCACCTCCCTTCTGGAAGGTGAAGGAATATGCAAATATTCTTTCGGGAGATGAAAGAATATGCAGATATTACTTCACCGGCCCTCAAAAGAACTTTGAGTGCATCTTTATTTCTACAGAATCAAAGTACAGGAATTAAATCGCTATTAACAAAAGTTTTCCAAAGCGACTGAGTGGAACTGGGGCAGAAAACCAATTCTGGATGTCATCCCTGCACCAAAGCGGCTGTAATAGGAAGTCACTATTGCTTCCTGTCATGCTCGGTCAGGTGGCAGAAACTGACGAGTGTTGCATAGCGTTGACTTGCAGGCACAGTTCTTGAGTGTCTCCCATCACGTGCGCAAGAATGGAGAACTGGGCCCTGGGGCGCGCGCACACCTGTGCCCAGATGCCTCTTCAAGGTGCGGAAAAGGCTGTGACCACCCCCGCAGGTCCTGGAGGTGGGGGCCAGTTCAAACACTGTCCACGGCTTCGAGAGCAAACATTGCTAGCTGTGGCCGTGTAGCTCACTAGGTTAGAGCACCATCTCACTGTGCCAAGGCTGTGAGTTCGAGTCTGTCAGACTCAGCCAATGAATGTCAAAGTGAGTGGAACGCAAATCTGCGTTTCTCTGTCTCCAGCTTCCTCTCTCTCTCAAATCAATCAATCAATTAAAAAAATGTTTAACATAAACATTACTGCCCTGACTGGTAGAGCTCAGTTGGTTGGTGTCGTCCCGCAAAGCAAAAGACCACCAGTTCCATTCCTGGTCAGGGCATGTGCCTGGGGTACAGGTTCAGTTCCTGATGGGTGAGTGTACAAGAAGCAACTGATTGATGTTTTGCCCTCACATCAACATCTCTCTCCATCCCTCTCTTCCCCTCTCTCTAAAAATAAATACATACTCTTTTTTTTTTTTTTAAGACTAAACATTACTGAAAAATACAATGCCAAAATGGTCAGGATCTATCAGCCAAATTGCAAATGGTGGACAAGTAAGTATATGGATCCTGATTCCAACAAGCCCGCTGTAAAATTACATTTATAAGACAACTAAAAAAAAATCCCAGCATTTATAAGACCACGGAATGTGCACCGATGATATTAAGGAATTGCTTTTGGTTATTTTAAGATGATAACGATATTCATATTGTCTCTGTTTGTTGAATCTTATGGTCTAGAACGGTATGCGGAGGTTTGTATGAATGTAGTGATAGAAATTCTGGGATTTGCTCCAGATCAACGCAATGGAGAGCGGGATGGGGGGTTCATTCTACGGCACCCCCACGTTTATATCCGCTGGAAATTTTCCAAGAACAGACGTTAGAACAGCCGGTAACACCTACTTGCTGTCTGTAACAAGTGCCCTGTTGAAAAGAAGCCACGCCACAGTGAAATTGGCATTGGTAGCGCTTCTGGAAGGGCCGGTCAGTAAATGTCTTAGGGTCTATGGGCCGCACTTCCTGTCAACCTTGACCTCCGCCCTAGTAGGGCTACCAGGGCAACGCCCACCGGGTGCGTCCCCATGGAAGTTCACTTATGGCCCCGGGCACCTGAATTTCAGGGCATATTTACATGCCAAGAAATAGTATTAACTTTTATTACTTTTTTTAAAAAAGCATTTATCCCTGGCTGGTGTAGCTCAGTGGATTGAGCGCGGGTCTGTGAACCAGAGTTTCGCAGTTGGGTTCCCAGTCGGGGCACATGCCTGGGTTCAGGCCAGTTCCCAGCAGGGGACGCACAAAAGGCAATCATACATCGATGTTTCTCTCCTTCTCTCCTTCCCTTCCCCTCTAAAGATAAATAAATAAAATATTTTTTAAAAATGTAAGACCATTCCCAGTTCACGGTCCATAGGGAGGAGACTGCAGGCAGAATTTGTCCCTCACCTGCCCCAGAGCCTCTGAAACCCACACCTTGGACAGGAAAAAGCACATCGTACACCATGAACGCTTGGTTTCTCCGTGCTGGGATAATGACGCACCCATTCCACTGTCTGGGTTTGGCTGAACCGCCCCAAAGTTTCTCTAGTAAACTCCCGATAACCAGCGCCGTAAACTGGTTTTTCAGAAACAAAGGGGCCGTGGCCGTGACTTTTATCGACCTTTTGTTTCGCTGGCTCTGCTTTCTCGACCTCCAGTCCGGCCCCTGGGAAGCCGGCGCTCCCTTCTCAGCTCTGCCAGCGCCCAGACGCCTTGCCCACCCGCGGGCCGCGCGCCCGCACCCACCCACCAAGATCCCCACCCGCGAGCCGCGCCTCCTGGTGCAGGTCTTGGCAGGTCTCCAACCACGGGCGGGCGCCCCTCACTGTGCACCGGCCATGCGCCCTTCCTTACCCAGGCAGCCTAGCACGTCGCAGGCGGTGGCGATGCGCAGGATTCGGGTGGACGCCGGGGCGCGGGCCGAAACGGGCGGGGATGCGGAGGGCGCCCCGGGAAAGGCGCGCCGGCGCCGCGACAGCAGCTGCAGGAGGCCGAGCACCAGGCGGACCGTCCCGCTGCCCAGGCACAGCGCGTGGAACGCCCGCGGCTGGAAGCTCAGCATGAGCTGCGTGGCGGCGTCGCGCGTGGGGCAGCAAAAAGTCCCGAGGCGCGGGGAGGCCATAATAACTGGTGTTCTAGGACACGGCCCAAGTCTGCCGGGACCCCGCCGGCGGGCCTGGGTCATGCGCTGGGCGGGCCGGGCGGGGGGCGTCATGTGCTCCGGGCCTCTCTCTCCACCCCCTGCCCCAGGCCCCGAGCTGGCAGCAAAGGCCCCGGCTCGGTGGGGGCTGTGCGCCCTCGGCAACGCCACGCGGCCTCACGAGGGTGACGCCTGGCTGGGAGCAGGGGGCGGGGGAGGGGGCGCGCCAGAGGCCGGCGGGTCAGCTTCCTCCTGTTCCACCAAGTCTCCCCAGGGGCCTCCCCCTCCAGAGTCCACAGCCCCGCAGACGGACCTTCCCGAAGCGCCGGCCTCGCGCGCGCCAGGTCGTTTCGGATCCGGACTCGGACATCCCCAGTGTGAAGCGTGACAGGCGCCAGAACGCGTTTGTAAACCGTGACTGGCATGCTCGAGTTTTAAATGGTGCTTTTTTAACGGCCCCTCTCCCTCCAGGAAACGATCCCACAAAAGCGGGATTTTCACTTGAAATCAACAACAACAACAACAAAATCTTAAAGAAAGAGGCCACTAGTTGGCCTAACCAGATGGACACGCACACACACAATTGCGCCCTCGGTTCAGCTCTGTTCCATTTTTCACTCGGCCCCACCTCATAGGGTGACATTCTTAACTTTCTCAATGACATTTCAAGAGTGATTCTGTTTAGGAAAAAAAATGTTATTGACGTTTATTCAGATTTCCTTAACGACTATAATTGTTCCGCATAGTCCATTCTGCACAGAAAATCGTCCTTGATACTTTATGCCTAGAAGGCATAAAAAAACTAAAAGTTTCCAAATTATATCAGTACTCATGATGAGAAAAATATATGGCGTGAAGCTTAAAAGGAGTAAAAGCTGGTTGAGGTTGGCAATAAAAGAGCCACCTCCAGGTTAGGGCTTGAGTAACCAATGCTTTATTTAAAAAGCCCTGGCTGGTGTGGCTCAGTGGATTGAGCACGGGCCTGTGAAGCAAAGGGTCATGGGTTGGATTCCCAGTCAGGGCACATGCCTGGGTTTCGGGCCAGGTCCCCAGTAGGGGGCGCCTGAGAGACAACCACACGTCGATGTTTCTCTCCCTTTCTCCTTCTCTTCCCCCCTCTCTAAAAATAAATAAAATATCTTTAAAAAGAGAAAAACTATTCAGTTTTTCATCATCAATAAACCTAGTAGGCCCATTGGCCACCGTGAAGCGGATCGCCTTCAATCTCTCTCCCCAGTAAACCGGCCCCTTTGCAAGTTTTCCTCCCATCAGCTAAAGGTAAGCGGTCCCCAGAGTTTTCCCCCGTCTTTCATCGTTAAAGACAAACGCAAAGCCTTAGGGTGCGTCGCCCCCACCCCCGGCTCCGGCGGCTCCCCCACCTTGGGGCCCCGGCTTTGCAGCTTGGAGCTCCGAGGCGCAGCGCGCGCGCGCAGAGCGGCCCCTGCTTCCTGCAGACCCGGAGCCCGGGCTTCCCGTCCGCCCCCGGGGCCGGCAGACAGGCTCGCGCGGCCAGCTGGGAAGCAGAGCCCGGCACAAAAGGCCGCGGGGGCCACCACTTCAAAGGCGCCCGCCCCCGCACGTAGGGAGCCCCGCAGCTGCTCCGCTGCAGTCCGGGGCAGGCCGCCCCGGTCCAAGGCCTGCCCGCTTTTGCAGGAATCTGCTGTCCGAGCCTTGATCTTTAGAAAGCGCGGGTCCCGCCATCTGCTTCAGACAGCGCGGCTCCTCTGGCCTGCGCTCCGGGAAAGCCGAGGTTGCTTCTGGAGCGCAGCGCGTGGAACGCGCTTTGAAACCAACGTGAAAAGCGAGCACCTGTCCGTCCGCCCGAAGGCCGAGGGTTGGGGTGGCCGACCGACGCCCAAGTGTCTGCGTTTCATGCTTTAGGTCCAGGGTGCACATCCTCACCTCCCTGGCTGGTCTGCACGCTCTGCGCGGCTAGGAGCCCAGCTTTCTACGCCTGGGCTACCAACGCGCGTCCTCGGTGGAATCTGCGGACCTGACGCAGCTGCAGATGGGCCTCGAAGCAAAGCTGCAGAAGGACGGATACCAGGCTCGATCTCTTGAGCCCTGAGCCCTGGCCCGGTAGGTCGGTTGGTTCCAGCACCACCCTGATACACACCAAGGGCGGGGGTTCGATCCCCAGGGCAGGGCACATAAAGAATCAACCAATGAACGCATCGGTGAGTAGAACAACACACATCCATGTTACTCTCTCTCTCTCTCTCTTTCTCTCTCGCTCAAATCGGTTTTTAAGAATTAAAAACAAGAATAGATGTCTCAACTGTGGCACCAGTAGGAGGGGAACTTGAAATTAGGGTGGGAAATAAAGCTGAGAGGACAGAAACTTTTTCGTGACCCAGTCCAAGGGCAACACGCGGTGAAGCGCACACAGGCACGGCCCGCAGTTTGCCTGCCATAACCACGTGGTCAGATACACCAGCCGGGGGGGGGGGGGCGGGTTAGGTGCCCTGCCATTGAGACGTCTGGACAGTAAGGCTGGAGCTCAGGGCCAGAGCCTCGGACATGCCCTGCAGCCCATGTGAAGGCCACAGCAGGGCCAGCACCCAGGAAACAGGTGAGTCATCCACAGGGAAGGAGCGTGGAAAGATGTAGGGGCTGAGTATCATTTAAAATTAAACTGTCCTTTGTCTAGACTAGAGAGGCATTTCAATAATGTTCGACCTGACGACAGAATTCATCGACTCGGCTGGGCATTCCCCCCGAGGGGCTCATGGAAAAGTAGATTCTGGTTCTCGATGCCTGGGGTGGGCGCCAAGAGTCTCTGACTCGGAGTAGTATTTGTATATCAGGCTGAAAGAAAAGGGGGGGGGAACTCCCTGGCCATACTTAAGTTGGGGGAGCCTTCCTTCAAAATAGAGGCTGGCACACTCTGGCTGGTGTGGCGCAGTAGATTGAGTGCCACCTTTTGAATCGAGGGGTGGCCAGTTCGATTCCCAGTCAGGGCACAAGCCGGGGTTGCTGGCCAGTTCCCCAGTAGGGGGCGTGCGAGAGGCAACCACACATGGATGTTTCTCTCCCTTTCTTTCTCCCTGCCTTCCCCTCTCTAAAAATAAATAAATAGCCCTGGCTGCTGTGGCTTGATGGTTGAGCACTGGCCCAGGAACCAAAGGGTCGCCAGTTTGACTCCTCATCAGGACACACGCCTGGGTTGCTGACCAGTTCCCAGTAGGGGCCACACAAGAGCCAACCACACATTGATGTTTCTTTCCTTCTCTTTCTCCTTCCCTTCCTCTCTCTCTACAAATAAATAAATACTACCTTTTTTAATGAAAATAATAATAAATAAATACATACATACATACATAAAATCCTGAAAGCGTTTTTTTAGAAGGAGGCTGACAAATTGATCCACAGCCAGCTGAGCCAAAGAGAGTTCCCAAGGCACAGGACAAGCCGGGGGTGGTAGCGGGAAGGTGGGAGCGATGAGTAACATCCTTCCGAGTCGGAAGCCGGGTCAGCGAGCAATGCCTGGGCCTTGCTTGGGACAGGAGCCAGGATGCGGGCAGGAAAGGGAAGCGCGTGGAAGAGGAAGCAGCCAGATAAGGGCTGGGGGAGACAAACAAGGGGGTTGTGTCGAGAAAGAGAGCCTGTCCTGACAATGGTCTCGGAGGAAACTTTAAAGAAAGTGCACTGGGTGGAGACGGCGGGGAGAGAGGCCAGGGCTCGGCCCGGGCGAGTCATCGAGTCCCCTGCAATGGGCCCCCGTCATCCCCAATGACCCTCCTCACTCCGCCCCATTTCTAGTGCTTTCTCTCCGAATGCCAGCGAGTCACCCGTTGGAGAACTAAGGCTCGAGTGGCAGGCTAACCTGGGTGTGCCGGACAGAGATTTGGTTTTCATCACGGCCCAGCCCACTGTTCCGTAAAGGTTTGCTCTGAGGCGTATCTGTGGTACATCATGTGAGCTGATTCCACTTGGTCGCTGTGGCTAAGTTGGTTGGAACATCGTCCCATAAACCGAAAGGCCACGGCTTCGATTCCTGGTCCCGACACATACCCAGGTTGTGTATTCAATGGGCCACTGGGGTTTGTGTGGGAGCTAACCTATCAATGTTTATTTCTCCCTCTCTCTACAATCAGTGAGCATTTTTCTCAGGCGAGGAGAAAAATAAATAAACAAATAAATATTTAAGGAGCAAGAGAATGAAGCTGCAAATGAACGGGCGAGCATGACCTTCGTTACGAAGGGCAGTTCAATGATGAGTTAAATTAAGTCGAGGAAGGCGTTTTTATTGACGTGAATGTAAAGGCACGTTTTGTGCTTTTTCTGACATGCACGAGAGCATGAGTCATTCCACATTTCTTCGGAGAAAGAAACGGCCCCCTGACATTTACGTGTTGAAAGACATCACCCTATTATTGTTTATAACGAGGGCCGTTTTGAAGTTCATCAGGCGGATCAAAGGGACAAGATGCAGAGAAAGACTTGAAATCGTCCTCAGTGCGGCTTCACGTGGCCCGCTGGCCCCCGCCCATCAGAACCGGATGTGGGCATTGCTAGGGAAGGTTCATTTGGAAGTTTCCAGGGAAAGCCAGTAGGGGCGGAGAGTGACCAGGACAGGGAGACCACAGAGGTGGGCTTCGAGTGACCCCTCAGAACAGATCAATGTGCCCAGAGTCGTGCACAAAGCTTCCGAAGGGGAAACGTCTCCGTGCCTCCTATTTTGGCCTTGACCCCCTTGCCATGCCCACCGCCCCAGGGAATAGAGTAGCAGATGTTCCCCACGATGAATAGCTTTTGGACCCAGGCTTAGAAGAGCCCCAGAGGCCTGATTCGGGGCTGTTTTTGGCCTTGAGCTCACCTGCCATGGCAGATTCTGAAGGAGCCCTGCCCTTCCCGCCGAGACACAGCAGGAATTCAGGCACTGAGGCACCCTGCTGGAGAGGGTAACTTTGGCTGGGCAGCTTCAGACAGCGAGTGCTGGGAGCTAAGTCTTCCCTGTCTGGGCAGAGGGGAGGCAAGACCCAGCGTGGGAAGGAGAGGGCGGAGTGAACTCCGAGAGGAGGAAGGAATCTGGGCTGACTAGACTCTTCTCACTGCAGGGCCTGGGGCCTCTCGTCTTGCGTAATCTCACCGCCACCCAGTGGCTCACGGTTTCGTGTCCCGTTTACGTGTGAGGCAGGGCAAGAGG